TGACCCTCCGGGTCTTGGACTCTGTCCTCAACTTTAAACATTTTATTCAATTTACATGTTGTCAATTCTTCAAATAATTTTTTATTATTAGCATAATAGTCATTAAATTCATCAACAGATGAAAAAATTTTTATTTCAGTAATTGGTTTAACAACGTTTATTTTTTGTTGAACATTTTCACTTTCATTTATTTCTTCCTCCTCTGTTTCATTTATTTTTAAAATCGGTTTCATTTATCATTAAATAAAAAATTAGAATATAAGTGATGAAATATATTTTTTAATTAATATTAAATCAGAGATGGCGGCAGGATTCTTTAAAAAATTATGGGAAGGAATTAAGAAAGCTGCAAGTTGGGTTCATCAAAAGATTATTAAACCCGTTGCAAACTTTTTGGCACCAGTAGCGAAAACGGCAGGAACTATCATAGGAGGAGTATTAGGTGCTAAAGCAGGTAATCCGGCGATGGGAGCACAAGCAGGTAACGCAGTTGGTGGAATTGCTGAAGGAATACTTAATAAAATAGGGGGTAGATAGTGGAAAAATAAATAAATATTATTTTTATCTTAGTATCGGTTGTAGTCGACGATAAACCTTATCTCCTTTATTTAATACTTCCCTTACCGGAACATTAGGTGCTATTTGTTCAGCAACGTCACTAATTGCTTCTTTATTCTTAAATATCCAATTTGCTCCTTTCTTAATCCCTTCCCAAACTTTATGCGCTCCTCTTTTTACTTTATCCCACAGTTTCTTAAAGAATCCTGCAGCCATAGTTGATTATTTCATTAAAATTAAAAATTCATTTTCATCTTTTAATTTTGATTTTTTATTTAATAATAAATGACGACTAACTATTTAGTGCCAAACACTAAACCGATTAATGGAAATGTATTTCATTCATTCGAAAAGATAAATGAAATATTCGCAAAGAATGATGGAAGAAGATATTATAGAGAACTTGAAAGTTCATGCTATGACTCTGATGCTCCATATTTTGATGATAAACAAACTCATTTAAGAATTACAAATCCGGCTCATGATGTGAACCAATTAGGTGACACATATATTAAACGCAAAGTTAAAGCAACTCTAGTTTCAAATAAAGCTTTCACATGTGATGCCGCTTTTAAATGCATGCGTTTATTCGTTGGTTTAAATCATCAAATCAAAGCTTTAAGCAATTAGAAGTAGAAACCGAAAGAGGTGATGCTGGTTATCTTCAGATGGATTGCGCCCGTGAATCTTTCGCATTTGCAACATATAAACCAAAATCAGAAAGGAAAGTTAAAAAGTTTGTTCATTCGTTATATAATAATGTTCAAAAATATGATAACTCAGTATGTGGTAAATATATTGACCCTTCAGAAGTTTTCAAGAAAGCAAATGAAGAAGTTGATGTCACTTTTGATATGATTATTCCGGTAAATGATTTGTTAGCATTTCAGGCGTTCGATGATTATCCTAAATCATTTGGTGAAATCATTCTTAAATATTATGTTTTCAGGGATACTTTAGTATTTTGTCAGGTTGACCCGTTAAGAGTTGCTGATTTACAAAATTACGTTTATGAAAAGATAACTGATGAAAATTATGAAAAGATTATGAATCATGTTTATAAATATGATCGCAAATTCCAACAAATCGGACTTCCTGCCAAATTAATTACAAGCTTAGCCACTACATCTGCTGACGCAACAGTTGAAGACGTTATTATTTCATGCACAAAGATGGAAGTTTTAGAGGATAAATGCATTACACCAGGATACGGTTTAATTGAAGAATCAGTTAAAGCAATACCACGTTTATTTAGTAAGGAAGATCCATTCATGATTCCAGCTCAACATATTGACGTTCGTTCACTAAATGGAGGTTGCATCACTCCTGAAGGTATTAGCTCAGATTTCTCATACGCTCTTCATAATGTTACAGATGTTGTGTTAACATTTCCGAAGAATGCAATGCAAAGAACGGTTTTAGAAAATCCAATGCTTCGAGGTCTTCAGGTCACTATAGATTCCAGAAACTTCCCCGATCAAGCGATGACCACAGTGGGTGACATATTCTTTACACGTATGCTTCAAGCTTCTGATTTAGATGGAGTGAATGAATGCACGGAAGAATACGAGGACTCATTAACTAGACCACTGAATGATGATAATGGCACGCCATTAGCTAGAACATGGAAAGACCAAACTTCATTCTTATGCACTATTCCAGTTCAACGTGATGGAGCGGGTATATTCTTTGATGGATTAGAAACTTTCAACTCACAAGTTACAGTACAAGTGAAAGCTTATCCAATCATTCAGGGTGAAAATGACACTTACTGTTCAAAAGTGACAAATCCTCCTCAGGTTTGGTTTACTAGGACTACATATTGGACATGGACACCGGATGAAGGTTTGAAATATCATCCAACAGGTACACCACCGCAGTATAGAAGTTCATATGATGAAATATTGATGAATAGAAATGTTTAAAATTATAAATTTATTTTTGATTAAATGGATTTAAATTCATACACACCTTATGAAGAATTAGCGGGAGTATATAATACATACGTAGATGATATGATTAATGAAGCATTGAGTGATAATAGAAATGCTCTATCTAAGGAAAATTAATGAAAATTCCATATTCTGAATGTTACTTAAATTCAATCACTGCAGCAATTGGTAAACAAAATAAAGGTAAAACGTTAACGATATTAAAACAAATTATCATTATTGCTAACACTTCCCCCTATTCACATGTGTTAATTTATATCAACCGTTCAGGTTCACCTTCAGATGATACATTTGAATCTTTAAAGCATTTAATCAAAATTCCAATTATTTATTTATCACAAGAAGAAGCAGAAGATTATTTAAAAAACTTTGTAATGTATAAAGAATTATATATACAATCAAGAAGCAAGGATTAGAGGATAAATTATTGATAAACAACGGGATGAATTATTTGAAACACTTTCGATTTCAAATTTTGATAGAGAATTTTTGCATTCACTCATTTTCTAGATGATGCGGTGAAATCAAAACTAATAACTAATGAGAAATCATATTTTAATCAATTATTAACTCAATGTCGACACATTCAGTGTTCATTCTTCATGGCTGTTCAATACTTTAAAGCATTAAGCACAAACATTAAATCAAACCTGTCCACCCTTTTCATTTTCAGTGGTTTTAGTCGTCAACAGTTGAACGTTATGCTTTATCAAGTGAATTTACCAATGAGCATTAATGAACTTTACACACAATATCAACAATTAGGAGAACATGGAAAAATAATAGTTGATTTAAATAAAGGTTCCATTAAATTCGAATAACTTTTTATAATTAATTTTTATTTTTTATTTATAATTAAACATGACAGAAATTGCAAATCTTCTACAGGTTCCATTAAAACAAGGAACAAACAAAAGGGTGCATATAATAGAACTATGAAAGTTCCAGACGGAATGAAAGAATTAGTCCACATTGTTGCCGGTCTTCAAAAGGATGTTAAACAAATGAGAAACGTTTTAACATTACCAGAAGCTCAAGCATATGCCAAACGTCACGGACCAAATTGGGAAGCACACGAAGCAGACATTACGGGTCCAAATGGAAAACCTGATGGAATAAATGAAGTTTTCGTTACTGATGGTCAAGGAAATATTAAAGTCATAAATGGGTATAAATTAACAATGACGGATTATCCTAAACGTAAAGCATATAATGAACATTATCCTATGCAATTTGATGAAAATGGAAAAGCTGTTAAACAATACATTGGAGAAGGTGAAAATGGTCCAATTAATTCATACCGTCATAATCCATATTCTTACTTCAATGAAGAATTAAATGCTATTGAAGAGGGACCGGATGGATTACCACGATATTCTAACCAGTTTGATGGTCAATATGCAAATTTAAGACCTGAAATTCCAGCTAAGAAATTCTTTAAAGTTGCTTTATTCGATCCAGTTTTCGCAAATGTTAAAGATGAACTTAAACAGCAATTCCAACCAATTATAGTAGCAAGAATTGCATCAGGTGCTTTATCTCAAGCATTCAAAGATTTAATTAAGAAACCATTATATCAGCAACGAGGTTTAACTTATGATTTAGTTAAGGAATCAGATAAAAGAAAATTTGAGAAATCAGATGATTATAAGAATGCAATTAATGAATATATTCGGTCTATTAATTTCGATGAAAATGCTAAAAATCAACTTCATGAACAAATACAGGAAATAATAGATTCAAAAGTTCCAGCAAAATAAAAGTTTAAATATATTTTTTTATTCGAATATAAATGAGAAGACGTTTCACTAGTCAAAAGAACACTAACGCAAAAGCAGAGATTACGGTTGGTTATAACGTAAATGATGATAAATCACGAATTATTCAAAATGTTAAAGTTAATGTTAGTCCTGAATTAACAAGGTCAGCAACTCAACCAAATTTATTAACTCGTGACTTACCGAAGAATGAGGAGAATGAAGAAAAACCATGAGAATGGAGACCCAATCATTTTATCTGAACCTGGTAAAGAACCTGTTGAAATTCCCACTTATCCAACATACCCCCACCTCTTTCATCAAACATCGAGAACCCAGGAATCTACGATTACAGTCGCAATGCGCCATATAAAATAGACATTAATTCTGAATTAATGAAAATTTACCGTGATATCATAACTGATAATTATGATTCAATAATAAATTTAATTGACCAATCCGGTTTAATTATTTTACCTTATGAATCATTAATTCACATTATCGCCATTCTTTGTGATGTTCAAGATTCAGACGTGAAGATTCAATTTTTCATAGATGATGAGGTTTCATGCTGCGGAACAGTTGCAAAAATAAATCCTATAAAGGATATTAGCACAATTAAGATATCAAAGAACGGAACAACAACTGAACTTCATTTAACATATAATGATATTTATAATAAAATAGTTGATGAATATAAAATATCACTTGAAAAATTCTTTGTTAAGGCTATTTAATATTCAAGCATTAACATTATCGAATAATAATCCTTTGAATCATAATCGATAATAATTGACCTTTCACCAGTTTCTATCGTTTGTTTTATTTCTTTTTGTTCCCCACTATCCGGATCGGTCATTGTAATTGTTTTTGTTATAGTATCAGCTTTATCTTTAACTTCAATCTTTTTTCCATCAGGATATTTAAACCAAAATTCCAAAAATTCGATATTGTCAATCTGTTCATATTTTAATGAATCAGTATCACCTTCAATGAAATGAAAACGATTAACATCCATGCATTTATACATAAAATCATAAATGAAAACCAAATACCAGTATTTTGCGTTATCTAAAGTGAAGAATGCCTCTTGTAAACATGTATCACATCTATAAAATCTATCTTTAAGCATCACTTGATACGTATCTTCACCTATTTCTCTTATGTTTTTAAACTTATTTGACATACATGCAACGCGTGCCTTCTGTGCATTCATTATTTTAGTCTTTGCGTAATTTTGTGTATTCATTGCATCGTAACCATATGATCCATTAAGTGAAATCTTGCAAAATAAACTTTTTCCTTTATTTCCTTCTAATTCAGCCTTTTGTCTTTCATTCATAAATTCGTTCGCAAATTCATTAAAACAAGTGTTTTTAGTAAATGTTAAAATTGATTGAATATCATCAATGATAAAATGAAATCTGTCTATTAGATACCAAAGATAATAAGAAGAAAATGGTTGATATTGGTTGTGTGTTGATGCTAACTGAGTTAATTTTCTCTGTTTCTGGTCAACTGGTAGATTGTTTGATTTCATGTAATTATACATAAAACTACCAATTGTTTTTTCATCTGTGATAATATCTAAGTTTCTTATTATCGGTAAAAAGTTTATGTAATCATTAATGTATTTTTCATCAATGTGACCCTTTACTTCAGCCACGAATAAAGTATTTTTCTTCTTAATTATTCCCAATGCTTTTGCTTTCTTTGTTGCTGTATCACAAATGATAACACCATTCAATCTTCCCGGCATATACATTTTATGGTCAGTATATTGAATGAAATCATGAGGATTAGATGAAAATGATGAAGGATATAATGAATTAAAGTCAACACCAACGAAATGAGTCATAATGTTGGAAGTGTCCTCATTTGATACAGTTTTAGTTTCTGGATTATATGAAAGTTTATTAATGTGCGTGATTCCTTTAAGATTTACTCTATGTTGAACATTTGATAAACCACCAGTAATTCCATTACGGAGGATGTGATAAGCTTCAACTGAATCTAGAGTCATTGGTAAATTATTTTTTAATGCATAATTTCTTAAATTGATTCTTAAACGTTGAACATCTTCATCTTTATTTGATTTTACGACATTGCAATAACAACACATTAACTGACAATTTTCTTTGGTATGTGGTTTTTCATTATCGATTCTATCTAATGTTGGTTTATTAGCATATGTAAACGCTTTACCACACATTTTGCATTTAGATGAAAGGATTAAATCGTGATAGTATTGATAGTCATCCATTGAAACATTGTTTTTAGTATCCCTTTCTGCTTTTTCATCTTGTTTCTTATATGAATCAATTTTATATTTCCAATACTTTTTTGTTAATTCAAAACTTGATTCCACATTTTCTTCTTCTGGATATGTTTCGTTAGGATTGAAGTTCTTATATGCTAACGCGTAACGAATCATTGATGCATTCGATGATAAAGAAAGATTATGAAGCATGTCAATTTTATAAACAAATGTTTCTTCAATAATTTTATCAATTGGGTCAATCATAATTTCAACGTCTTTATTGCAATAATGAATAAAATATTCTAATCTATTCTCAAAATTTTTAGCATCATTGAGATATATTTGATAATCTGAATCGGATATTGTTTCTTGAGTTAATGCTGAATAAAATGAATCTTGAGTGAATGGTTCCACTTTATATAATTCATCTTCGTAATTCTCCCATGTGATGAATTGATAAGGGAAAAAGGATTTAACACGTGATTTATTGTTTCCGAAATCTTGAGTGAATTGGTCTAATGTTCCACCCGCTATATAATTTCTGATGTCAATAAATCTTAATTCATATGGACAGTTTGTTTTCTTTACAATGATTTGCTTAAATTGAGAAGAAGAACCCAGCATTGATTTTATTTTCCATTTTGCAGTGTTTAAATCACGAAGAATTAAATTTAAATCAAACTTTCCCGAATTAAAACCTATGATATTCACTTTATTGAATTCCTCATCTAGAAGTTCTTTAAATGCTTCCTTCTGTTTTTCATTTAATGTATGGGACAAAGTCCCCGCCGTTTGGTCCGTTTGCGGCTTCATTAATTCTTCATATTGTTCAATATTTGATTTAGCAACTAATGAACAGGTTGAAAATAAAAATTCAATCCAATCAGAGATGAACGAATCACTTGATGTTAAGCAAAAATTCCTCGTAAATGTTTTATCACGGTCTACGACCTCGCCGCTTCGGTCTGAAAGACCTTCAGGACTCAAAGAGTCCGTTTGCGGCTTTATTTTGACAGTTGATGATACCATAAATGGTTTTAAGTAAGCGTTCAAAGTTGCACATTCAGAAAGTTGAAGTTCTTCTTTAGTCTCTAATGTTTCGAAGTCAAAAGTAATATAATATCTTGTTGGTTTATAATATTCCTGCAAATTGTGAGCTAATAGCCATTGATATATCTTCTGTTTCGTGATATGTGGTGCATATGGTTGTTGTGTGTTTTGCAATTGAACGTCTTGAATTAATCTTCCATTATTTTCTTTACATTTCTCACAATGTTTTAAAAATCTTCTTTGGTTTTTCCTTTCTGGGTCATCACGGATAGAATATACTTCTTCTTTGCAAAAGGGGCAAACTTTATATCCTGTGAGTGCTTCAACGTCTGTAATTCTGTCAGCGTGAAGTTTTCCACATGGACTCTGTGTTAATAAAATATTTACTGTTTCAAATTCTGGATCTATCATTATTGATTCCACTAATGGAAAGTCTACCTTATTTATGTCTACGTCTTCTGGTTGAGGGTCACAATAATAAAAATCAATATTAACGTTTAACATTCTTGCTAACCTCTCACTTTCTGATGAAATGTCAAATCCTTCATATGCATCTATGGCTTCATTTAAATAACTTCTACGAGTTTTAGGATTAACACCATCAGGAATGTTATAGAAGCGTTTAAATAACCTTCTACCTTCGGCTCTTATTTGATTATCATTCATTTTAGCTGTTCCGTTTTTGTTCATTTATGTAAGAATAAAAAATTAAAAAATAAATAAAAATAAAGTTTATTTTTTTTAAAGTCCAGGGCTAAAGTCCATAAAATGAATTAAGAACACATAAATTTTTATCATCTGCGACGTGACGAATACATTTTAATTTACTCAAGAATGCGTACCCTGATACATTAAATCTAATTCCTGTCTTATTTAATTTCACAACTTTGAAAAGGAATGTATGAATAGCTATAAAATGATGAGATGATGTTTTATGGGTTGCTTCCATTTTTTCTGAAATAAATGAATAAATATAATGTTTATAAGTTTTCATATCTTTTATATTCTTAATAACGAATGGTATAGACCTTTCAACTTCGTCTTCCTTCGGTGCTGTTCTTTCATATGAAACATTATTAGTATCTTCAATAATGAAACCACAATCGCATAAAATTTTATATGTACCAATTGTTTCTTTTGATATTTTATCTAACAAATCAAAAACTTTATCAACACCTGCACATTTATTTAAATAATAATTTGTGTAAATATCATGGTCTTCTTTCTTAATCGTATTTGTTGCATATGTTACATTTTTCAGTGCTTTTTTGAATTTTTCAGAATCAAGAGGAGGTGAAAGTAATATACATGGATAATCTCCATCGTCAATAAATTGTAACTTATGTTTATGAATAAATTTTGTGCCTTCTTCTGAAAGTGTTTCATCTATTTCACCATCTAATAAATTTTTAGTAGATTCCAAAAAGTAATTTTTATATCTTTCTTCATGAGATTTTTGAACTTCTGATTCTGAAGCTGGGATATTCATTAAACCCTCTACTTCATTCTCATTATATTTTTCAACTTCTCTTAATTCCTTAATTTTTTCATCTATTTCATCTCTTATTTTTTCCAGTCTTTCAATTTCATCATATTCATCATCTTTAATCCGTTCTTCATAATATTCAGGGAAAACATCAGGTTCTTTAGGTTTTTCTTCTTCAGATGTGGGATATAAGAAATTTATAACATCATCTTTATTCATTTTTCCATCATAATCTAAATCATTTAATAACTCCGCGAATTTTTGACAATTTCTTAAATAATATTTATTAACTTCATAACTCGCCTCCTCTAATATATCCTTTATTTCCTCGTTTGTGAATCCCAATTTTTTAACGTCGTTAGTCTTGACACTCATTTTCATACGAATTAAAAAAAATAAATTATTCAAAAAATGTAAGACATGAATTTTTAAAGTTTATTTTTCATTCATGAATGATAATTATATCTGATTTCTTTTATTCTCTCGTACATACTAGATTTGAAGAATTCGGAACTTTTACCATAATCTCCTAAATGTTTTCTTATCCCTAACGTGTGCCAGTTATTATATGAAACTGTATAAACTTTATCTTTATCTTTGCATCTTTCATCACTTCCAATATATTTATATCTCAGTTTTGATTTAGCATTTTCATATTCATTAGCGTTTAATAATTCACAGTCTTCCTTTTTAAATTGATGTTTAAGATATTCAGGATTTAATACTCTACGTTTATATGCTCCTAACTTAGTTCTAAAGGTTTTTCTACAAAATTTAGGAATTCCATCCTCTTTAATGTCATCAATGATTTCCATTTCATTATTTTCAATTTCTTCTTCTCGTTTATGAGGTCTTTGATTATGACTCCATTGATTCCATGAAATTAAATATTCTTTATCATTATATTTATACCTCATTAGCTTATTTTGGCTTTCATATTCATTTAATAATTCACAATCTTCATTTTTAAATTGAAGTTTAACCCATTCAGGATTTAAACAATGTTTAATTAATCGCGGAATATCTGACATCATCTATATATAGCTTCTTTTATAAAAGATAAAAAAATAAATTATTTTAAAATTAATGTTAATTTTTTAATGATTTATAAATAAATATATTTTAATGCATCGTCTATATATAGATGCAACAAAAAAAGTCACACAACCCGCACTCATATACTACTATGAAGAAACATTTTGTTCTCCATTTGATACTGAGTCCAAATCAAAGCCATGTTAGAGGTCATAATGAATTTGTGTTAGCGGAATTTGTTTTACTGATTAATAACAATGTTAGATATCATAACAATTTGTAAAAATCTATATAATAGGGGGTAATAATTTGTAAATATGGTGGTAAGACGATTATTCGAAAAAAAATTCTGTATAACCAATAATGACAAAACAGGCACCAAAGAGCTCATTAAAGCCAGCAGAAGAAGCATCAGTTGGAAATATGGGCGATATCAACAAATTAAACGAAGAAAAGAAGGATCAAAAGCCAGCTCTCGTTATCGAAGCTTCAAATCTCAATCTTGTTATGAAGTATACAGGACTTGATAAGCAATCAGCAATTGATCTCATCGAAAAGAATAACGGAGATATCAAGGCATCTCTTAAATCTTTTGTTCTCGAATAAAAATATTAAATATTACTTTGTAATCTTAAGCAATTGATTTTTAAAGCCATGTTACAGAAATATGTCTTTACAACACATACTATATTTATAGTGATATCTGAAATCTAATCAAAAATATACAATAATTTAAAACATTAGATTTAAAGTATCATAAATAATTTTATCTTTATTAATATAATTGAACATAAACTGTATTACTTAGAATTCTGGCGCTGTTGATCTAATAATTTTTGTTGAACTTTAACGAATGTTTGGTAGATCTTAATTGATTCCTCAAGAGCTGCCAATGATTTTCCATTCACCTCAAGAACATCTTGAACATCCTTAAGTCTTTTTTCTGGAATTTTAAATTCATCTTCTTGATCTTCTTGAGAATCTTCCATGAACTTTTGTAAAAGCGATAGTTTGTTTAACTGTGATACAAATTTATTTGGTTCGTTAAGCTGTGCCTTGATGGCTTCAAGTTTATCTAAAAGTTCTTGTTCTTCGCGACTGAATTGAATAGATTTTAAGGCCCCAACTTCCTTCTTGGAGAGCTGTTGCATTGATAAATCTAAAATTTTACGATTATTACTTGCAGCTTCAGCCAAATCTGTTTTCTTAAAGAATTCTATATCTTTGTTAATATTAGCTATTTTCTCTGACATATGATGCAATTTTGTCTTCATTTGTTCAAGAATTTCTTTTTGTGCTTTCATTCTGTTTGGAATGTCATCTTTTTTAAGTACAGTCGGCTCAAATCCTTTTGGTGCAAGATCTTGGTAGCTTGAAAATTCTCTTTCTGAAATACATTTTGGTTTATTCTTTCCTAAACCGCCACCAAGGCCACCTCCACCACCAAGACTTGTTGATTTACCTCCAAAGAGTCCTTTTGACTGTTTTGTATCCTTTTGGGAGTTATATAGAATATGAGCAAATCTGTAATCTTCGCTATTTTCATCGTAAGCTGAAATAATGAGATTGAGACGCTGAACAAATGGGTCTGATGCTTTTGTTGTTGTTTTTTGACCTAATCCTCTACTAAGCATTTTTTTTGAAACTTTATTTTTTTTTTCTTGTCCCTCAATCTCCAAAAAAAATAAATCTAGGAATTATAATGTCGATCATAAAAAGATTGATATGTAGTTATTATTCATTAGGTATTTATTGATCAAACTCAAATTAATTTGATTGTGAATCTTTAATTATGTAAAATGGCTGAATTTAATGTAGTGATAATATAGTGTGAATAAAATTATGCTTGCTTTTCGTTCAATTAACGCTATCATAAAAAAAAAATAAAAATTATCCAATCAAACAACATAAATATTTAATATCAATTGCATAAATCTGAAACAATTTGAGAGAATATTTCATTAAAGCGGTATTCGCTTCCAGAAATCAATGACATTGTTAAAACGCAAATATTACCAGTATTTTCTTGTATTTCAGCCTGAAAGACTGATTTATGGATTCCGGATACTTCGATTAATAGCATTCCATTTTCATCTCTGGTTATTTTATCTTGTCCGAAGAAATTTTCTAAAAAGTTGTATATCGTTGAAGGTGACATAGGAAGAGTTGTAGAAAGTACTTTTCCTAGGTTGGTGAATGATGGACTTGGGGTGTTTTTGGCAGTTATTTGTACTCCGATTGTATTTCTAGGGATTTCTTGCATTAGGTCATTTTGGACGCTAACTTTCATATGTTGTAGCCATCTGTGGTCTCTGACTTGAGAAATAGTTGCTCTTTTTGATGTCTCTCGATTTAACATCATTTGAAGGATATCTCTTAAATCTTCTGATAGATAAGTAGGTATAATGCTTTCATTTGTCTCAACTTGCTTCCTGATGTACTCATTTGGTGATTCAGAACTCTTCATTCCATTAGTACTATATGGCAACTTTCCTGTAGTAATTGCGAGTAAAAATATGCCGCATGCCCATACATCTGCCTTCCTTCCATCGAAATTTTGATTCGTGAAGATCTCTGGAGCTTGGAAATTTGGAGTTCCATAAGTTCCTGTTATGATTTCATCTTCGCTTTCGAAACGTGATGATAAGAAACCGCCAAGCTTGAATTGCTTGTCAACAATGAAAACGTTTTCAGGGCGAATATCGAGGTGAACAATCGAATTTGAATGAAGATAATAAATAGCCTCAACAAGACGGTAGAAAATATTACATGCTACTGACTCAGGAAGTGGGAAATCGAATTTGTAATAATCCATGAGAGAAACTTCTTCAGATTCAACAATTTGTGCTAAAACGTGAGAATTATATGTAGTTTCAATTAACTTTTGTATATAAGGATGTGAAATTGATCCTAGGATTTCGAATTCCATTTGAAGATTATCGAAATAATAAGTATGAAATAAATTCTTTCGCATTAAAAGCCTGCCAGAATATCTTTTCTTAGTAGCTTTCTCTATTGCTTCAATTATAATGTATCCATCGCGTGGTGCACCTTGGAGAAGAGAATATTTTCCACTTGGATCTTCTCCTAAATCCATTTCCTAAATAAAAATGATAAAAACAAGGCATTTATTTCTCCTCGTGAATTTCAAAGATATTTTATAAATGTACAACTTCTATAATTTACCAACTTTTTTAAAATCCAAAAGTGGACATCAACATATCAATGATTTAATAGTACCTATTTCTTATATGCGAGTAAGAATGGCATTTCAAACCTGAAAATATGCTTAAGTGTGTTAAAAATTCTGAGATCTAAAAAAAAAACTTAAAAAGGCACAGTTATCAGAAGGAAACTATTTTCTTATTGTTACACAATCGAATATCAGCATTAAAATCATAATTTATAAAATAAGACCCAGAAAATATCTTAAACGTACATCAAATTTCATAGATGTCTTCAAGAAGAGAATCGCTCGCTGCGTCTAAAATACCAAGGAAATCAATTACAAGTAAGCTTGGCCAGAGAGTATCAATCAGCAAAAACGAACTCACACGTCGTAGCTCTGCTGCCAAAAATATTCTCCAATCAAATGAACCTGTTAAGAGCAATATTCCAACAGTTCGATCATCAAAGAAGGTTCATAAAGAGAAAGTAGTGAAAGAAGCTGTCGAAATACCAGTTGAAAAGGTTGATGAAGTAATTGTGAAGGAGAAGCCAACATTTACAATGATTCCACCAACAGCCAATGAAGCAGAGTCAACTGAAATATTGATGAATGCCATTAACCTCATATATGAAGAAAATATGCCAGAAAACAAGGTTCAATTCTTCACAAACTATGCTCAAGCTATGCTCAAATTTAGCCAATCATCTCAGTTACTTAGCATTTCTTCTACATGCATGACAGCACTCTTCCAAGAAAAATTTGAAGCAGTTCCATCAGAAGTTCTTGCAGAAGTCTTATCATTATGCTTCTCTATTAATTGTGGTGATATCTTCCTTGAAGGAGAGGATTCTTTTGAAGCTCAGGAGTCAATCAAAGGCTTCATCAACCAATCAATCGAAAATACGCCAGTTAAGACATTGGTTAAGTCAATTTGCTCAATAATCCAACAATCATCAGGAAACAAGTTACAATTTATCCTCGATTCATTGAAGGAATCTGATAATCTCAAATCTGCTGCCGAAATTGAACTTCGTGCTATCAGTGATGTATTATCATCTTTTCATCCTGAAATAACTCTTCCTGAATTCTTACCAGAGCCATCAATTCCAGATGTTTCCGATATTACAAAAATCAAAGGTCAAAGTAACGAAAATGTCAGTGTTGAAGAGAGCATTGCAAGACTTTTGAATGAAGAAGTGGTTGGTGATGAACTTCTTAGACTTGTTGCCAATTCAAAGGATGGAAAATTCGAAGAATTTCCGGCTTCAATTAGAGTTGTACTTCATGCTGCATGGAACGAGGCATCACCTTGCCCCAATGAAGAAGAATTGCTCGAACAAGCTCAGTTCTTCCTCGATACCCATCAATCTTCTGAATAATTTTATTTTTATGTATTTTGGCTATTATTGTAGTATTTAATAAACGTGTTTTACCTTTACTTACCATTATTGTTTAATTCGCATTCATTTTTAAAACAATCCAAGGATTTTAGCCAAAAAAGAAATATATAGGAAATAACGTTTTGCAGATCAAAATTATAAATTGTGTATGGGAAGGGTTGCATTTTTAAAAGTTATGCCAAAAATAATTGTAATTTTACCTAAAATTTTCACATTCAATTTCCACACAAAAAAAAATCTTTTTTCATAACAGCAAGGCAGAAATTTGAAACTTCGTTTCAAATTTCTCAAGCTTGCATTCTGGGCACTTACATGCCCAGAATGCTAAAAGGCGCGTAGCGCCGTCACTGAATATCAAATTTATTATAATAATTATTTTATTATAAATCGACATGTTATAACACATTGGCGCAATACGTTAATTTATTTAACCTCTAAATCCAAAAAAACTCAAAGAGATCACATTACAGTCTTGTTGTCTAAAAAAGAGATTTTACAAGAATGTTTTGGAACCTAAATAAAGGATGAACATCAATGTCATCTATGTATAAAGAAGATCAAAGTATTCCATATCATGTAGTTATTTATCTCGCAAGAAATCGACTTTTTGAGAGAATCTCATATAATTAATTGTATGACATCCATCAAAAATTCGAGGGTAGATTTATTAAATTTCCAGAAACCAACATGGAAATATGTTATGCATATCCGATTTTTTTGTTAATATTTTTTGTGTTAGGCCTCTTGGGAAAATTTGATTCCAGATCTTTCTTCATGATGTTACAAAATATTAATAATGAAAAATATTTGAAATCATTCCTTAAACAGCAACCAGTGATTACTTATTATGCAAAAGTGGAAGAACCTGGTAACGATGTGGGTACTGTTATACGTACTGCTGCCACTTACAATTTTAATTATGGATCATATGAATACCAACCTTTAAATATTACAATTACTGAAAATAAAACAGATGTTTATCTGTTGAAATAAGAGTATATTTTAAATGAAGAAGCAAAAGAAAGTTTCGATCACTTTTTAGAAGATGTTGATTACAAATGTCGTAATTTATACCATTTTAAATTTCTTAGGCATAACGACCCATGTACATTCTTGTTTTGTTTTAACAAAAGAAATTCAATATTAATTAATTTTCTGACAAGCAAATATGGTCGGTGTTTATATCTGTTCCTAAAAATGTTCTGTCTCCAAGGATTTTATGAAAGACTATTCATTTGGCAAGTTGATACTTATAAGGAAATTACAGTGAAAAAAATGATTTCAGTAGATAAAGAAGAGTTTCACTATAAATACAATGAAGGTTGTATAAATCAGAATTCGGAGAGTTTATCTGTTCGTTTATTGGGCTATGTGGAAACTTTTACATTAGTTTCTTTAATACTAATTGGAGTAGTATTAGGACGTATGACGTTTGGGTGATGACAATGGTTTTTGCCTTTCATTTGCTACTTAACTATTACTGCCACTCTGAAAATACAACTATTCAAGATCTTTTTATATGAGTAAATTCTAAACTTTTCAATCATGTAAACATATATGTCACTTTTGTAATAATTATTTTATTAAATTTCACATTAAATCGACCTGTTATAACACAATGATGATGACGGTCTTGTTTTATATTATGCTAAAACTTCTCAAATGCTTGATAAAAATAAATGAATTGAAATTAAAACAGAAAGATAGCGATAATATTTAATCAAATAATAATATATCAAGCAATTCGACACTTCAAGAATGATTATGAACTCATTAAGTTGGGTTGCTGGTGGAGTAACTTCCATGATTAAGATTGCTTTAATAGGATTTCCCAAAAATCTCGGAGTTTCAACTCTAAAAATTTTTCATGACCTCGGGTTTTTCGCGGAAGTATTCAACGGGAAAAATACTCTTGCAGGGTACAATGCAATTTGTCTTCTATCAGACTTCCCAATGGATGATGAAGACTTAATTGAACAAATTAATCAATTTATTGATGCCGGCGGCGGAATGCTGGTATTTCACATACAGTCTGACCCAAATGCTCCTCTTCCTATCAACTCTCTTCTCGTTAAATACGGTTTAGCCTTTACTTATGACTTATTAAATGAAAATTCAGAAGAAAACCCACCAATTATCATACCTGCCCAGTTTGCAGCTGTAAGAGATAACAACTTTGTTCTTCTTACCGCTAAATTCAAAGCTAGAATTGGTCAGTCGTCGATTGATATTACTGCATTAGATGATATCGTTACTTTACTCAGATACTATATTATGGTTACAGACGAATCCTACATAGATCAACTCAACGAAATTTACGAATATTGTTGGGATTACCTTAAAAAGACCGGATATTCACTGGAGAACGGCCTCTGCTGCCCAGATGTTAAGCACGGTATTATTGTTGTGCTTATACACGAGCTGATGCCGAAGCTTCCATTGACAGTCTATAAACCAATCCCAGAATACGAATTCTTTCCAGGGAAAACGGGCGATGAACCTCTTGGCGAGTTCGATGTCGAGCTTGTTGTACAACCAGACATATGGATTGCCACTGGTTTATGGCTTCCTGCTGGAAAAATCGGAACTGTCGAATTACATTCAGATTATCCTCTCAATTTACAGATACAGATCGGTTCGCAAGTTACAGGGCTTCTCGCAAAGAACGGTGCTCTTAAGAGATGGCCAAACGTTGTCTCATATTTTCAACTTACATCCGAAGTTACACAGGTAGCAACTTCATTCGGTGGCATTACCTACGTTACATGCAACGACGTTATGGATTCCGTAACTGTTAAAATACACTTCACAAACTTTTGTTTATATCCAAGAGCTTGCTGCGATGATCCATCGGTTTGGAAGTCAACCCAGAACACACAGGTACCGTGGGGTGAAATAGAAACCCCTTCCTACTGCTGAAATTAAGAAATTTAATGATTTTAACGAACTTGCAGAAAAATTCGGAATCATTTCAGACAAAATCGCACAGTTTATGAATTTCCAGCATGGTTTCCCATACAGAATCGTCTTCGATGTAGAGACCAACGAAGAAAGCTTAAATGGGGGGTATCCACTCGTATTTCTGGTAGACGATATCGACGCCATTTTACACAGTTGGGACAAACCAGCTCCCCAACTGTTTACGACTATATCGGTAATGTCCATCATGAGCCTCCGCGAGAACTGCTTCGATCAGACAACAGAAGTCGCTTTATCTGCAATATGTGCGGCTTCTGTACTTCAGGAGCTTTTCCCGAACTTCCAACCATCAGACCTTGGAATAGAATTCCCATCACTCTTCAACGAATTATGGGATATCTACTCAAACTTCGGAAAAAATATTATTCCAGATACAATCAGCATTTTCCAAAAACCAGATTATGTTCTTCCTGAAATACCAGAGGATATGTGGATTTGCTTCGTTAGACAACTCTGCGATGTTGCTAAGACAGATTTCACCAAATTACTCGATCGTGTAAAGCCGATTCCGCTTAATATTACCATTTCACTTCAAGGTTATAAGCAGTACACTGGAAGTGGCAACTATGCCGCTACTCAAAATTCTGAATAAATTGTTTTGTAATTTTCTTCATTTTAATTAATCAATCTTTTTTTGACAAGAGCCAAGCAATTAATAACCATTAGAATGTTACTCATATTATTAACATTATGAGATATATTTTTTTGAATATTAGAATTTTCATCATTATAGTTTCACATTTACTATGATTTCGAAGAACTTTTTAATTCATTTCCCAAAAAAGCTGTTCCTTAATAGAGAAATTAAAATTTCTGCATTTGTTTTGGAAATATCAATCAAATTTTATATTCCTATGAAATAGTAATAAAAAAGGCATTTTTAAGAACAAATTCAAAATAAAATTCTCATTGATATGGATTTTCTTGAGGGTTTTGAGCATATGAGTATTGTGGAGCTGGTTGATTGTAGGGTGATTGTGCATAAGGGTTGTTTGGTATTTCTTCGACAGGCGGAATTGGTGGTGGAATTGGATTCATTTGTTCTGCTGAAACGTATTGGCCTGGGTAGCTTACGTTTTGTCCTTGAATCATAACACCAACCTCTGGCTGAGCATAAAGTGTTGGCTGTTGCATTGGTTGTGGCATTGATGGTTGCATTCCCATAGGAGCGGCTGCTTGTGGTGCTGGTATTGTAGAGCCTGCTAAAGCAGGAGCAAGGCTAAATTGATACTTGCCAGCTGGAACACTAAACGGTTTTACGTTAGGTACAGATGAAAGATGAACTTCAATATCGGCTGTAAAATCTGGGTTGCTTGTTGGGTATACGTTTCTGACTGTTCTGTCAACTTCAAATCCCATTAAAGGCAATGAAACTTCGGCCTCGACTTTTCTTCTACCAAACATCTTTTTACGGTATAAAATTACCTTGATATCTCCTTCCTTTTCGTATTGGTCTTCACATTCCAAAGTAAAAATCTTAAAACAGTTGATTGGATTTCCGCTGCAGTCGCATTCTGCTGAAGGACCTTTTGGATTAACTTCTATTCTTACCAGATAATCATGCATCATTGGATCCTTGCATGAGAAGGTGTGGGCTTTGAGGAATAGCTTCATTTTTTTAGTCTGATATTTTTTATGTCAAAAATTTTGTGAAGTTTGAGTTATCGGATACAGATCCGATAATCATTGAATAGCAACGTCAAAATCTCAAGTAATTAGCAGATTTAAGGAGGTCAGTATTGATAGTTATATCATATAAAAGCATCCTAAATCCAAGAATCATTAAAATTAATAAATCTCAATTCAATAATTTTTTTGGAGAATATAAAGGTAGAATCTTAATACTATAAATAAGAGCTATAAAAATCATTCCTCCCGCTTTGAAATTGTAGTTTTGGAATTAAATTCATGGGCTTTTTTTGGGGTTGGCGTCACGACGTAAACCACTCAATATTGAGAAGTTTACATCGTGACGCCATGGTGACCCCAATCCCACCCCAACCCAAATTCATGAAACAGGATTCACGAATGCAGCTTCTGAAGTTGACTTAAGGGGAAATTTACTATGGTAACGCTTAAAAAATTGAACATAATATTTTGAATACAATGCAAACTTTTCATAACATTAATCAAGATTAGATTCTAATTATTTATATAATAGTTCTATTTTCACTATTATTTTAAGCAATTTTTTGTGCGACTTTTTTTTGACAAAATTATTAAAAATCTGCATCTAATAACACTGCAATTTTGATATATCAGTATAAAAATACTATTTTCACTATTATTTTAAGTTGATTTTTTATTACGACTTTTTTTTATTTTTATCAAAATTTCAAATTTAGTTAGATTTAGAATACTTGCGATTATTGCTTAAAATATTCAAGTAATTTATATGAAGATTTGAAAATTTTCTCCAAATTATGAAACAATCCCAATATGCTAATACCCATCAATTCAAATTTTTTGGGTCCCTTTTTCAATGAAATCATAATACCCAAAACAATTTGAAGTGATTGGTATTCCAATATACTCCAAACAATTTTTCTGAGCAAAGCTCAGAAAAAGTTTGGAGTAAATTTCTAATTTATGAGATAAGATTGTGAGCATTACAAAATTTGCAAGACAAATTTTACTCCGCTCATAATCTGACTCATGAATTTCATATTATGAGCAAAATTGAAAACCGCTTCATTCTATTCAATTTTTCTCATAATATGCTAAATTGTAAAATAAATAATGAGATCAAACATCTAATTGAATAATTGCACTAATTTTAGAAGTGACTCATAAATATCCTAACCGTTTCAAATTAATAAACAACAATAATGCTATTCGTAATGCAGTTTTCTCATAAAAATTTAATTTTTTATTTTGAATCAAATTCAAAAACCTTTAAATTGAAATGCTCAATATTGTTAAGAACCGCTATATTAACAATTTTTGTTAATAACCGAATATTACTTTTATGTTAGCATTAGTAATTAACTTTGCTATTTCACAAGAAGAGGATAAAAAGGCTAATATCACCAAAGTTTTAGAAGGTGCAAAATGCAGAAGGAATAACACCTTTTCGCAAGACCTAGGTTTAGGAAGTATTTCAGACGAAGACTTTTATGATATCGAATCTAAGGATTTTATATGTGTCTATGGAAATTTTTTAATGGGCAGTAATACTTCCCACGTAGCTGATGTTTATATTTCAGTTAATAACTCAGGAAAGCTTGAATATACTAAGACAGAAAATGTTCAAAATCCACTTGCAGTTTTGACAGAATATCATGTGGATGCAAATGTTGATTTTGACAAAGGAATTCCTAATATTGGAAGTCTCCTTAGACCTACGACAATAGGCTACTCAGTTGCGGTGATAAGATGTGCTGCTGATAATCCATGCAGAATACAAATTAACAACATTTGGCCATCATATAAAATCAATGCAGAATTTATTTTTAACGGAGCTAAATACAAATTTGAAAATGGTGTAAAAAGTATTGTGTCAACAGAGAAGAAAGGTTCATTCTATGTTTACTCTAAAAATTCCGAATCTAAGTCCGGTTCAAGCTCATTAATAGTGACATATGGTCAGACTATTACAAATGAAAAATTACTTTATTCATATAAAAATGATAAAAAATCAGATTATAACAGTGCCAGAGAATCAATTGATTGGGCAATTGATTATACGAAGGAACTCTTGGCTAAATATCCAAGTTATGATCCAAATAATCTATTAGCATTATTGGATTTAATGAAGGATGAAAAATTTTTATTAGACATGGCTTGCGCCAAAAACCATAAAAAACAAAGTGGAGATATTGGTAAATTTTATTCCGATGTATTTTTCCCTTCTCCTAATGCTTGTGAATTTACATCATTCAAAGATTTCAACGAATCAAATTCTATGTCATTTGGAAGCACCATATCATGGAAACCTGTAAAAGCTTCTGCTGAAGATATTCCAGAAGAAAAGGATAAGGAAAAGACTGAATTTTATCTTCCAGAATTTACTGCAACTCTTTCAACAAAAGGTGGAGTTTTCACAAAGGACAATATTGATACTAAATATCCAGGAGAAGGAATGCCTTGGTGGGCAATTTTATTAATTGTCCTCGCAGTTCTAATTGTTATAGGTCTGATTGTTGGTATTGTAGTTTACTTTGTCATCTTCCGCAAAGGTTCTGATGGAGAAAAAGACAAAGAATCCGATGATGCAAAACAGGAGGCATGAGTATCCAAAAATTAAAAAATTTCATTTCATTATTTTCTTACTTTTTTTTACCTTTTTATGTCTCTAATTTTTAAGATTTATCTCTCCTTGTTGCAAATAATCATGTAGATAAGTTAAATTTTCTTCATGAAGTACAATTTCATTCGTTTGCTTCATGGAGTATTTTAATTGATTGATAAAATGCAGCCTTATTAAAAAAGAACAATTGACATGTACATATAATGACTGGTCAGTTAAAAACTACTGATCAATTTCTTTGTTTATTTTACGGTAATCTATAAGTTTTGCTTCGATTTCAAATCTTTCCCCAATGATGTTTCCATATGCATGCATTTACAAATTTGCTGTTTCGATAATTTATTTGTTGTGGATGTGATATTTCTTCAATTACATAAGAGAATTTGGGAGTAATACATTTATAATATAATTCATGTATAGAAACATTCAGGAATTTCAATATTCTATTCATCAATCATAATGAATTCATCATATTTGTTACAAATCCGAGGAATTTTTGCAAAATAAGTTTGGATTGCATAAATATTGTTGTAATATTGCATCAAGAATTCATTGGAGTTTTGTTTTAAGGGTTGATCTTTAAGATCTTCGAGAGATTAAACAGCTTTACATTTTCATGTAAGAACAAAGCATACTCAGGAGCACATGATTAAACCTTTGGCGATCTTTAGGCTGATTTATACAATAAAAAAAAATTGTATTTGAATATCATCTACATCTGTTTTAGGGGAATTGAGTATATTTTTTGAGCAGTGCAATAAATTAGAACTTGATATCTATATTCCATTGATATATTGCAAGATTATAACACTCACTCAAAAACTTCTATGACATTATGCGCTCTTTCTCCTACTTTTTTTAGTAAACATTAATGCGATTTCGAATTTATCCTCTGAATTATTCAGGTAGTCTAAGAAATGGTCATCTTTCTTCATATGAATGTTATGTATTTTTGTAGATTTGAGTGTGTCATAACACCTGCAGTCTTCTGTGGCATCTTTTCATCAATACATTGACTTTTCATGCTTTCATATTGTTCGTTCTCTATGCAATAATGAAATTCAATAAATCCAATAATAATTTTTTACTATTTTCCCAGAAGTTTTACTTAAGGTTAGAGTTTCTTAATAGAATATTTTATAATTTCAACTTATTTCATATATCTGTTCGTGAAAATATGAGGTATTTGAGTTTTCAAAATGATTTGACAAGTAATGATTATGAAAATAGTCAAAATTGCTGAATCAGCAGCTTTGTAATTCAAATTTAGTTAATTGAGATTCCATAAATTCAATAATATAAAGAGTTATGAGTCAGAATAAAAACATTTTCATTTTTGATATGGCAATGCTAAAAGAAGAAGAAAGGGAATAGCGTTTCGAGTAACCTTTAATCAAATAATCAACGAATCCAATGATTTGTTCGCTTAACTCATACTTGGATTTTTAATAAAAATTAATATTGCGGATAAATTCCTTTTTGGATTTTAGATCTGATCCATCTACAATAGAAATCTTATACATCAAACTTCTATCGTCAATTATGGATTTTCATCATCCTAAGTGACATGTTACTAAAAGTGTCGAAATTGTTTATATCGTTCAAAATGTTTCTGATGATAAACATGCATATTAGGTCTAACTCTTCAATTGTTACATGATTTAGAGTTGAGGTGATTTCTCGATAAATGAAAAAATTGAATACTTTCTCATTGTTTTTGCAATCAGCAAAATAACCATCAAAAATGCAACAGGTACATGATACTGTACTCTAATGAAATCGACCAGACATAAATTGTTTTGTCAATTGAGAGGAAATTTGAAATGTTTACATCATCGTTTTGTATGCTCAGAAATTTTTGAATCAGCAACATCGTTCGTCATTTCATATCACTTTTAAAGATGTCTGCCCAACGCGCATACAACTTCTCTGCTGGCCCAGCTGCTGTCCCACTCGAGTGCCTCGAGCGTGCTGCTGCCGAAATGACAAACTGGCGTAACTCCGGAATGTCTGTCATCGAAGTTTCCCACCGTGGCAAACACTGGATGGAGGAGCAGAAGGAAGCTACAGAACGCCTCCGCACACTCCTTCAGGTCCCAGAGAACTTCAACATTCTCTTCGTCGCTGGTGGTGCATCCCTCCAGTTCTCCGCCATCCCATTCAACTTCATTGGCGAGCACAAGGCTGTCGACTACCTTTGCACAGGCACATGGTCCAAGAAGGCCTTCGATGAGTGCAAGCGCCTTGCCTTCCCAGGTGTTACAGTCAACTCTGTTGCTGGCAACCCACCAGCTAACCCAGTTGAAGTTCCAGCTCGTGACACATGGAAACTCTCCGAGGATGCCGCTTACTTCTACTACTGCGACAACGAGACAATCCAGGGCATTGAATTCCAGCAATTCCCAGATGTCCCAGCTCCACTCATCATCGATATGTCATCCAACTTCCTTTCCCGCCCAATCACACAGTGGGAGAAGGTTGGCTGCATCTTCGCCTGCGCTCAGAAGAACTTCGGTCTCGCCGGCATGAGTGTCGTCATCATCCGCAAGGACATGCTCGAACGCCCAGTCAAGCCATTCTGCCCAATCACAATGGACTACAGAATCCAAGTCAAGAACAACTGCATGTACAACACACCACCAACATTCGCCATCTACTTCGCTAACCACATCTTCAAGTGGATCGAGGAGAAGGGTGGCCTTGCTGCCATGGATGCCCTCAACAAGGAGAAGGCTAAGAAGGTCTACGAGGCTATCGACTCAAATCCAAACTTCGTCAACCGTATCAAACCAGAGTGGCGTTCCCGCATGAACATGCCATTCTTCCGCCCAGACGGCTACGAGAACAAGGATCTTGATGCTGATGCTAAGTTCGTCAACTTCTGCACACAGAGAAAGCTCCTCACACTCAAGGGCCACGTTTCTGTCGGTGGCTTCCGTGCTTCCTGCTACAACGCTTGCCCAATGGAGGCCGTCGATGCCCTCGTTCAGGCAATGAAGGAATGGCCAGGCTTTTAAGTTCTCGGTAATAAAAGACTAGTTTTTTGATAGCTTTGACAAATTAATATCTTTTTACAACATTTCTTTGTGGAAAATACCCGCTGACTCACACAATTGATTATAGAATTTATCTCCTGTTACTATACTTTGTTCAAAGCCATGATAATAATATCTGTTATTAAATTATTGATTTGAAATTTTCATTTTTTACAATGTAAAATTGTTATGTACATGAAGAAAGATCATGTCTCAATAGAGTTCGTAAATTGTATGTGAAATGGAAAATCAAAATCAATATCTTATACATTTTGATTAGTGTTTGATATTGTATCCTTAATCCAAAGTTTTATTATTGATCAACGATAATGACTTAAACTGTTCTTTCCTATAATTCGATGTTCGATGAATTTAAATTCAAAGATCAGCGAAATAATATTTTAATTTTTATTTCCTTATGAGCTACATAAGATTATTAATGAGTTATTTCAAATAAAATTGTAATGATGTTGTCTTGTTGGAGAAATGTCAAGGATTATCGGAACGTCTTTTCTACGGAAAATCCTTGGATAAGCTAATAAATCAACTTTTCAGTTAACGGATAGTAAAAGTACGTTTATGAAGAAACATCTGGCCGCTCGTTTAGGCGGGTGAAAAATTGACACCGGCCTGCGAGAGAAAGTAAGAATATGGACGACGGTGAATTTACGTCGAAAGAAGGCGACGTGGGTGAGACTATCCATCGCTCTGTATCTATACTAGAGGATCATCGCATAATTGTCGATAAAAATCATGCACTTTTAACAGATTTAAGACTTCCGTTCACTGCAGTGTCATCAGGGATTGGTAAGCTTAAAAATTGCTCCGAAGAGGGACTGCCAGATGTTTGCAACCCTGAAATGTTTACTTTAGAGCAACTTTATTGTTTAAGATCAGAATTAATACAGATGAAAGCATTCATAGAGCAACAAAGCAACATACAGACCGGCTTATTTCATGAAATAAGTCAAGCCGTTCGTAACTATCAGACGGAAAACTCAGTAGAAAGAGAAGTACGAAGAATAAGATTCCAAAAGACAGAACCTAAGCCAGTACCTCCACCTGAATTGAAGAAACACGAAACAGCAGAGGATAAATCCAAGCAACAGACAAAAAAACTCAAAGACAAACACTCACATCATCATAAAGATAAACATCATAACCCAGATGAGCCCAAACCAATCACATCAGACACTATATGGGATACAACAGATAGATTTTTCAAACCAATCAAAACTCCTAATTATTTTGATAGATATTTAATCATTTCTCGACCAACATATGATATGGCCAAACTTCAAGAGCCATTAGGTACACATTATTCAATAACGTTCCCTAAGCTACCCAGTTTTCAAAACGATTCATTAAAAGTCCAATTAAAAATGCCATCTCCTCCATTTTCAGATTCTACTGGCTCAGGGAACACTCATATCCACAAACGCCTTATTGCCGCTATTGTTAATATCGTAGGAGACATAGAAGACTCAAATCTCGCTACATCTGATGGAGAATTTAATCCAGGAACAGATAAATTAGACGAAGGCGAACAGGCTAAGAACAGACGTACTCAAGATAATTTTACCAACCTCAGTAGAGCACAATTGAACGCTTTACCCGTTGGATCTAGAATCGGAAATTCTGCCTACGGCCAACTTGACTTTGAGAAGCGTCTTCAATTAGAGCTTGACTCTCTCGGCATTGCTAGCCAAGGACAGACCGTTATGGACATGAATTATCCTGTTGTTCGCTATTTAAGCGACAAAGTGGCCCAACAAAGGTTAGTTTGCGACCAAGCGAACAGATGTCGTAGAATGATCGAACAATATGTTGCATTGGGCCAAAGAAAGTTTGCAGACGTCGTAAAAAGAGATCGCGACTGGAATTCCGCACTTTCTTTGTATTTAGCGCAAGAACAGAAAGATAAAGGAACCACAAAGAAAAAGAAGAAGTCTCAGAGTACTAAAGCTATCAAAGAAGAAGAATATTCTGTATCTTCTTCAAATATAACTTCAAATGTGACATCAGATAATGATGAATAAAAAATTGTTTCGTATTTAATAAATTCATATCGATTTTTATTTGAAAACAATAAAGTTATTAATGTCATAAACCCTAACAATCTAATTGCTCTTATTACTGCAGAAAGAATTAATAGCAAAGATGTTGTCAAGGTACTAATTTCTAATAATTTTGATGTCAACATATTAGATGATCATGTAATATCTGCTCTCCTTTATGCGTGCAAAAATTACCAAATTGCAACAAAAAGCATAGCTGATATTCTTATAATATATGGTGCAGATATTAATATATATGCTAAGATAGATGGTAAAACAGCAATACATTTTACAGGAAAAAGATTTAATGCTATCATAACAGTATTTTCCCTATTCAATAGCATGGGTATATCAATTGAACCTAAAAAAATTCAGTTTGACAAAATATTTAATTATTTATTTTAGGTATTTGCATGTGGGGTTCTCAAGTTCTTGATTTTATCCTGTCTTCCAGCTATTTCTTTCTTGAAATCATTAAGATCGGCTTTATCAACATCAGGAAGCTCCAACTTCAATTGATCATCGATAAAGTTAAGTAATTGTTGATAGACATCATATGCGGCATTCACCTTTCTCTGATACAATAAAGCATTTGAGCGGCAGAATAATGAATTGAGAGGAAGACGCCATGATATTTCTGGATGTGCTAAACCAATCTCAGCAGATTGTTTGAATTGATCTTGTGCTTCTTGGTAATTATTGTTTGTAAGTGTTAATTCTCCAAGAAGATCATGCGTATCAATGAGTCCAATAAATTTATCTTTAGAATCAGGCATGGCTTCATATCCAAGTCTTGCTTTTTCGAGACAATCCCATGCAATTTCTAGATCTTCTTCATCTGCAAGATGGCCTGGTGTTTGGCTGTAGATTAAGCATTCTGAATAGTGAATAAAATCTCTGCATATTGTTTCATTCATCAGCTCTCCATCTTTATATACTAATTGGAGGAGTTCATCATATAGATCAAGAGCTTGCTTGTATTGCTTTCCCTTACGCTTTGCTTGAGCTTGCTCACGAAGCGATGTAATCCTTTCTTCGCTAGACATTTGAAAAGGATTTAAACGTACAGTTCTCAAAGAAACAAGATAGGATTTCCGAAAAATCAAGGTTTTATTACATCGTTAACAATATAACTATTAACGGACTATATCAGATGAGTAAGTATTCATCAATATCTCCCTTCCTTGTTGATTTCAAATTGAGGATTTCTATCTTTCTCTAACTGTGTCATTTGAGCAATATGGAATTGATTTATGACATCAAAATACATGAAATAATGCATACCAATGCTGTTTCTTTATTACATTAGATTTTGATTTTGATTGAATTCGAATTATTTCATAAAAACTATCACTTAATGACTTAATAATTGATGAATCAGTATTAGATTTACATTGCAGCAATGAATTCATCATAATTTTGAAAAAATATGAAAAACCCAATAAAAACGAGGTATTCAAGGCGTTTTTGCTATTACCAGAGCAGAAGATGCTTTAAATGCTGAAATCAGGTTATCAGATTGTGTCAGAAAATAAAATCTCAAAAGGAGAATTTATTTTGCCACTTTTTGGAAGTAAATTTTATGGGAATTTCTGTTTCTGTTGATTCTTGGGTAGAACAAATATTAACTGATCTTTGCGAAAAGTCCATCAAGTCAGATGACATCACATATTCGAATTTATTAAAAAGCACATCAAGTACTTCAGAAATTTTCATGGTCCCAGCAAAGATAATGAAAACTTTGGTTTCAAATCCAAAAGGCAATCTTAATTCCATCTTAATTAGATGCCTCGAAGGCTTAAATGATTCAGATGCCCAGACCAGAATCAATTCAGCTGCGATTTTGTCTAAACTTTTCCCATTCATGATTAAAAATAGCAAATCTATTGATTTAATGACATTCTTATACGATGAAACACAAATTTGTGGTGATAAAGTCCCTCCAGCCGATTATATTATTACAATTGCAATTAATACTCTGATTTCATTTGGTTACAATGGATGTCAGAATATTCTTACAGAAGTCGAACGAAATGAAGAAATTTTTGATCTCCTTGCATTCACAGTTTTCTCAGTTTTGAAATACTACGAAAATTTAACAGTTTATCATTCATTACTTGTCTATTGCACAAGTCGTGGAACAGATGTCATTGAACCATTACTTAATTACATTCATTCCGGTGGAAGATCCATGTCATTAATTTCATTATTTGGTTTACTTCTATTTCATCCATCAGATGATTTCAAGAGATATACCTCACAATTTGTAGAAAATGGTGGCGTTATATCAGCTAATTTATGCACACTTTTCAACGATGATACAGATTTTATTTCTTATCTTACTTCTTTAGGTAGTTCAGAAAAGAATTTACCAATACCTATCTCATCCATTTCCAATCCAGACGTTTTGAGGCTCGGATTGCTTAAAATCATTGTAGATGGTGAACCATACGCTGTTAGACCAAATGATATCTTCCATATCTGTAAAACATATGATTGGGTACTTGCTAAATATCTTTACAGCCATACGCCAAACTTAACTCAAGAACAATTGGCTGAAATACCAATTAATGAAAATATTACATTTTTAGAACCAAGGACACAAGAATGGTTCCTTAAGTGGGTTACAGAAACCATTTCGCAACTTTTCTTATACGGAAAGAGCTTATGGTTTGTTGAAGCAGACGCCACAATTGAATTGCCTTCATTTGAGGTTTTAGATCATCTTGCTGTTTACAATTCAGCATAATTTTATTTTTCAGCTTATAGTAGTAAAGTTTTATAAAGATTTTGTTTTTAATTAGGTCTTTAATTCTATTTACTGTATAATACTAAATGTAAACAATGCATGAAAACATTTCTATTACATATGTTATCATTATTGAAGCTATTTTGACTATTTTTTGAAAATATAAAATATATTATTAAACACAAATTAATTATAATATCATTATTGAAAAATCTTTTTCATGGACAATATCATAGTACTTATTAAAATGAGCTATTTGATGTTTTTGAAAAAATCGATCCTAAAAATAAGAAAAGTGTTACTCATTGATGAGAAATTTATATACAAAATAAAAACTTTTACCGAATATTTCACAAATAAATAAAAATTTAGCAAAATAATTCTACAAAATATAAATAATTAACAAAAAAACAATGATAATACATATACGCATTACTGGAACTTGAGGTTTTCAACCTTGTTGCAGAAGTCCATCCAATCAACATCGCCTCTCATGTTTGCTCTGAAATATTTCATAATTGTTTGGAGATCTGGCTCACGAAGGTTAATACCAAATTCACTAAACCTCATTCTGAAATCGCTGGCCGGTATTGCTGGTTCTTTAACGTCTTTGAATAGGTCTAATGGTCTCCTTCTTCTGCTGTATATCTTATCTCTTACAATTGACAAAGCATCGGCACATCTATGGTCCATTGATGGCTTTTCTAGTTTAAATGTGGCAAGTTCTTCTGATTTCACTTCTTTGGCCATGCAAACATTGCACATTCTGGTGTAATCAAAGATTTCTGAACAATTTGGTAATGCATATGCGTCAATGATGGATTTAATCTGATCCCTTGTCAAAGGAGGCCTTGTTGAAATAATAATTTGTTCGGCTCTGTCGCAACGTACGTGACCTGTTTTCCTATGATCGTAAGGGACGAAATGTTCCATTGGCTCTGCACCGCGCTTTGAAAGGAAGACCCGGAATGCCTTCATTGCAGCAATTGTTTCTTCAGACGGCTCTGGGGACTCAGCAAATACCTTTGTTGTGATCTCTGGCTTAGTACTTAGGAATTCTGTACCATATTTATCAACATCGTTAGCGAAATCAGCGTAATTGATCTCGGTAGGAATTCTACCAACGTATCTATGGGCAAATAGGTCAATATCTTGATCAGAAATGTTACCTATTCTGATTAATACGTTTCTGAACTTCGATTCTTGGATTGTTCCAAATAATTTTCCATCATAAACTTTGCATTCTCCACGAATATCAACACTTTGGCGATTTGATATTGCAGCGATTCTTGCAAGTGCCTCCTTTTCTTCATCTGTTGGTTCTGTTCTTTCAATTCTTTTCTTTACTGGTTCTTCCTCTTCTTTCTTTTCATTTTCTGTTGTTTCTGGTTCAGGAGGATTTAACTCTTTGCAAAGGTCTTCAATTGGAATAGTACCGTCCTTGTTTGTTGCAAATCTCATTCTTAATAAAGATTGTTCTTTAACATTCACGTCAAACTGAATAATTCTAAGTAAAGCTAATAGTTGATTGAATGTAAGAGCTCCAGAATGAGATTGGTCAAGTTTATTGCAAATTGAAGTTATATTTAATTGTTTTCTCAATAAATGATCTTTAAGCATGACAACAAGTGTTTCTGTCTTTTCAACTAAGTCATTAGGGCTCTGCATATCGATATCTGATGAAAGTTTCTCGTAATTAATTTTATTTTTGTCGTCAATGTATTTTGAAACGATTGCTTCTTTCTCAAGATCATTTAGAGGATATCCTTCAGCTTTAAGTATCTGTAAAAACGTTTGGCGATCAATTTTTCCTGTTTCATTTGGATCAAAGTTTTGGCAGTGCCCAATGAGCTGTGCGTGCCTATCTTGGATTATGTAGTAAAGTTTCTTGAAAGCTACTTCTGGATCGACAGGTTTTGGTAGAATACTTAATGTATACTCGCGTGTTTCATTTTCTATCTTCTTTTCGCTGATTTCCTGCTGTTGATTGACAATATCACAGAATTCTGTGTAATTTACTAGCCCATTTGCATTTGAAAAGGCACTTGCAATCTCTTTAATTTCATCTGGTGCGATATTTGGAGAAAGAGCAGAAAGACCTCTCATGAAAGCACCTTTAGTAATCAAATTTGTCTTTTCTAGATCGTATTGTTTAAAAGTTGCCAGTGGATCTATTCCATATTGTTTAATTTGAACAGATAATTTAGGAATTTTGTTGAGTGTCTTGTCTGGAAGTTGAACGGTTTCCATGGTAACAACTTTGGTTTGTGTTTGCGGTTTGTTTTTAAGAATTTCTTGAATTTCTTTGTTTAAGTCGTAGAAATGAATTAAATTATCTGGAGGAACTGCGTATCGTTTTGCAATTTCAGGAGCTAAAGGGGTCATGATAACAGCCAAAAATGTGGCCGCTGAAACTGTACCGCGATGAAATCTGTCATAAGGAGCTAAGCAATCACATATAGACAATCCTCTTTCTTCCAAATCACTTCCAAACTTAAATAATACGTCGTCTGGTTTTCTTGTTGAAGCCAAAGTCTGATTTTGTTCATTTAAAGCAGCCAAAAACGATCGATATTCAATGAAACCATCATCATTACGATATTCTGCAATCTCACGTCTGAACACTTTCTCATCTGTCCATATTTCGAGGTCGGCAAACACTTTTCGGAAATGATGCATAGATAAAAGTCCGGTTTCTTTTCTGTCGTACTCTGTAAAGAGTTCTTCGGCATTTAGTCCTTGAGTTTTTATGGCTTTCCTTAATTCATTGATTAGATAAGATGTCATCGATAATTTTTTTTTGGGTAAACGTCCCAAATTTTCTTCAAAATTTGTAAGAGTGTGATTGAAATCCTTCTCAATTATTGAACGTCTATCCCACATCATGCATATTTCATAAATATTACTAGATCTCAAAGATTTAAACGCAAATAATTGGCCAAAGAGTATGAATTTGGTGTTCATCTTTTCCACAGTGACAAATTTGAAAAATGATATTGCATTATTACTATTCTCACTATAAAAGAAATATATTTTAAAGTAACCAGTCATTAAATCGAAGCTTGGACCCAAAATTATTCAATTTTTTTGAAGGATTCCAGAAACAGCATGTGACAATCTCACAATATTTCTATGCTGCTAAATTATGAACCTAAATCTGAAGATTTTCCAATCTAACGAAATAAAAATCTATTGCATCATCATTTTTGACCCAAATGAATTAATTAAAAGATGTTATTTCAACAGAAGGCTTATTTAATATTCTTGTGCATCAATTCCAAATTGAGAGATATTTTGAAGGTCACCTTTTTCACATATTTTTTTTCGCATCATTTTCAAGTCAAGTATCGTGGATATTACTAAAGTAGCAGTTACATTACTATTAATATCATCAATGTCTTTAATAATAGTCATATTTTGGCGCTTTAATTCACAACCTAAATTAATTAGTACCAAATTTACAAATTTTACGCGATTTTATAATCCTCCTTTAGTCATTACAGTTAACAATCCAGCGTATTATAGTTTATTTAGATTTAGAGGACGCACGAATTTTATCCAATCGTATCAACCAGTTTTTATGCCAAATTCAGATAGAAATACTTACTTTGGTGATTTGATGCAGTCGGTAGTAATTTTACAATACAAAAACGTACTTTGCAGAACTGACCTTTCATTTTATATTAATAATACAATTTATATAACTGATGACAACTGTCGACATGAATTTTTTAATTATAGCAAACAAAATCATTCAATTATCGATATTAATTTTAATATTTATGACAAAGTTATTTGTATTGGCCATGGAATCTCACATCTTTACGGACATTGGTCCACAGAGACATTTCCATTATTTTTTGCGCTTCCACAATCTGTTATTGATGAAAGCATTATTGCTGTTCGAGAAATTAATCAATTTACAATTGATAGTTTGGAGCTTTTAGGAGTAAATAGAAGCCGAATCATATATGGCAAAAATCTTTACTTTTATGCCCGCAATCTTTGCACAGTTTATGGCACTTCATGTGATTTTTCAGATTATTCAACACTTCTGACTTATCGAGAGCGACTTTGTAAAATGTTTAATCTTGATAAAGTTTCTCCGACAAGATACGTAATTTTTAACAGAGAACGTGGATTTGCAAGACACGTTTCCAATTATGATGAGCTTTTCAAAGAGTTATCAATCAAATATCCAAATGTTACGTTTGAAAAAGGAATTACATACAATAGAGTTATAGAGTCGATCAAATACTTTAATCAAATCAAAATGCTTGTTGGAGTTCACGGTTCTCAGTTTTCTAATGTTATTTTCATGCAGCCTAATACTTATTATATTGAGATTCAAATGGAATCTGAAAAATTCCTTATGATGAGAATTGCTGTATTCACTGGGAAAAAAGTTATTTTAGTTAAAGATGGCAACATCAAATATCGCGAAATCGTTGATAATCTTGTTAATACTAAAGTAGTTATTGAAGGAATTGATTATGCATTTTCTGATATTGCTAGCGGAGATAAGTTTTTCTCATTTGGATAATTTTTTTTCGATAGACATTGTACCACCTAACTTTATTTAGTATATTATACAATAGTCCTGTCTTTATGATTGGCAATTTTGGTAGATGCTACCAGATAATGATGTTTATCTGTAGTATTCCTTATTACATTATTACTTGAGTACAATTTGAATAAGGGAATGCTATTTATATTGGGGATGCTTACTAAAAAAAATTGTTTGGATTTCACGTGGACGTGAGTGAACATTGTTTTTAAAACACAATTTCACTATTATTGTTAAACTCCTTTTCCTTCATAAAGTCTCTTAATCAAATTTTTGATATAGATTCACTCAATATTGATGAAGAAAAACGATAGGGAGGCTTTACATAGGAATATGGGTTTAGTTTATTATATGAGAATGCACGTAGGAAAATGGGTTTATTTCAATGCCACATTTATTTTTTCACTATTATAAGTCTGGAAACACCACAGTAGATATGGCTAAACTTTTACTCCAAAATAAATTTGAGCGAATCAAATCTGATTGATAAGTACCGTTTTGAAAAAAAGTATATTTACGGGCAGACTATATGAAAAAATAGATACTATTTTTACAATAAATCAAATCTAAACATAAAGGAAATTTACCCGTTTTTATCAAATTTTCAATGGAAACACTTTTATGAAAACCGTAAAATCCTTAGAACTATTGGCGTTTTTTGACATTGTTTCGAAATTGACCAATTTCCAAGGTTTTCTTCCAACATACTTATTCCAACTTCATTTAAGTGATGAAGATTGGAATTTATACTATGATACAACTAGGGCTTCATACAGATATGATTCTGACCAACAAATTTCTGTTTCAAACGGAAATATATTTGTTCACGATACAATATTTACATCAAAAAATGCAATTGTTATTTCAATAACTGCTGGCAACAATGATTTGAAGTTTTTAATATCGAAATCAAGTTTTTTTAATTGCTATTTTTGCGACTATGATGGAGCAACATGCATATATCAGGAAGGCGGTTCATGCGTTCAATATCAAGTATGTAGTATAAATTCAACAGGAGAGGATGGTTGCTATGCATTTTGCGATATAAGACCTTCTGATTCAAACTGCAAAAATTATATTCATTCTTCATCTATTTATAATTCAAATTCTAAATTACGCTCATCACTTGAACTTGCTGCATATGTAGGCCCTATTCAATTAGTAAAAGGTCAGATTTCAATTCTCGATTCAAATATCTCAAAAAATGCATGCTATTACTATTCTGCATACTTCATTATAGATACAATTTTATCAGCAAATATTGTTAAAGGATCTATTATCGCAGAAAACTTCGCTAGACAGTATACTACATTAAATCATAAAAGGACAAAATGTAAAATTCAATATTGTGATATAATCAGAAATACAATGTTAACGCATAGAGAAAAGACTAATGATATTAACGCTCTTGTATATTCTGGTTTTGATTCAGAAATAATTTTAGAATCATGTGTTATTGCAAATAACTATGGGAAAAATTTATTTTTGGCAAAAAATGATTCATTAATTGAGGTCACATCATGCTATCTAAATCAAAATGAATTCACTTCTCAAACATATTGCACAGAATCAGGAGAAATATCAATAAATTCAATTCAATTCCGGTCCAACAATTTTAATTTAGCAATATGCAACCAACCCAAACCTTCTTTGTCTAAGATAGAATTATTAAAATCATCCTTCATGTATGGAACAGATCAACAAATAACAGGTACTTTATTTGCTGAAAATGTTTATCAATCAGAATTTACAATTTATACAAGAATTGATGAAAATCCGTATTCGTTAACTACGTCTTCAAGGACATCAGATAATCAATATACAGTTAAATGCGATATTTCAACCCATTTAAAATCAGGATCCCATACATTATATGCAAAAATTGATGATTCAGAACCAGTTAGTGTTACATTTACATATATAATACCTTTAACACTAAATGTGAATGATTTTGCAAAAGAAAATTATACAAACAAAGTTGATAATTCGATAAAAATTTCCGGCTCTGGAATTGCTGATCTTCAAAAGTATTCTTTGATAGTGGAAATAAATACTGATAATATCAGAAATGATATTTCAAATAAGCTAATAATTAATGAAAATGAAAATTCAAATTCTTATAGTTTCACGTGTAGTTTACCTTTATCATCAGATTTAAGCGAAACTTCACATACTATTACTATTACAGTCAAATCATCAACCAGTGACAATATATTTAAAACAATAGAAAAAACATTTAACTTCCAAAGAAATGCTCCAATATTATCAGTAAATACACCTTCAAAACAAACTTATAAGCACATACTTGATGAAAATATAACATTTGATTTTATTATATCTGATAAAGATGGAGATGAAAGAATTAGTTTCTACTATCAATTTGATAATATGGCAATAAATCTATCTAAGATTATTGAAATTAATTCAGAAAATCAAGTTTCGGAATCAATTTCGATTACAATTCCCACAGTTTTAAATCCTGGTACGCATAACTTCAAATTTTATGCAAAAGATGATAAGGGTAAAAAATCCGAAATCTTCGAATACCAATTTATATATATTTACAATGAACCAATTATTGAATTAGTTGAATTCCCGGAAAAAGTAACAGCAGCCCAAAATGAACAAAACTATTCAATACCATTTTCTATTTTTATCAAAGATATTGATGGTGAAAGTAATATTCGCTTATTCTTTGCTTATAACAATGAACGGCATTTATTAAATCAGATTAATATATCAGGATCGCAAAAGATTAAGCACTCTGATACGATCAAAATTCCAACAACCCATGAAGGCGATATTAATATCTCAATAATTGCTACTGATCAAAATCATTTATCAGGTCAGGTCTCATTTAATACCAAATTAATTATTAAAAAAGAAACCAATAAGATTTACAATATACCACCAAAAAGAGTATTCAGAAGAAAATAACTCTTCTAGTTTAATTAAAAAGATAATTAATTGTTATCAGAGATAATTACCTCTATAAGTACTACAGTCCCCAGAAATACGTGTCGAAGGCGTGACAAAGCCATCGCGGGCACCATAAACCTGTCGAAACACGATATAAATACTATAAAAATACACTCCTTTTCTAGTTTGAACTATTAGAGAAAAATTAAAGTGAATTAAAAATCAAATATTAAAAGAAACAATTATTAATAATATATAAGAACTTCATCAGCAATCCGCATGCTTTTCAAGCTTTAAATATAATGAATAACATTAGAAGAAAGATTAGTTATATAAAGAGATGTTGGAGACATATGAAAATGGGCTTAAGTTCCATCGGGAGAGGAATAGTTTTTTGAAGGATAATAAAAACTAATATTTATTTATATAACAAACATAATTTATTTATTAATATTACATTAATCTATAAAATAGTTAATTAAAATTACTTCTTAAACCCAGAAGAAACAGTTCTCTTGATTGCAGATGTCTGCTTTGTACCAATCTTAGCAACAAGTGGGTGACAGGAAGGATGCGCTTTTAGAGATTCTTCGAAAATGTGTCGATTCTTTCTTGCTTTCGAGCTACAAGCACCTTTAACAACAATTGCTGCTGCCTTCCTTGTGCAGAAGCCTCCTTCATCAAATATCTGGAAGAGAAGGGCCAGATCAGGAGGCAAAGTCGACAAAACCATGAAAACATCGACTTGTGCTCTTTGTTCTTGTTTGAATTTCGGAGATTTCTCGTTTATAACTAAAGCAAGGATACGGAGCATCAACGACGTTGTTTCTGGTCCAGTGCATGATAACAATTTCATGAAAGGTGAAAAGAAATTTCGCAATTTCGCATGAAATCTGTCATCTTTCATTAATCCACGTAGACCACGCTTCAGAATCATTGTAGCTCCATATGCAACCTCATCATTGTTCAATGACGCGGAGATATATCGCTCAACAATTGGAGATCCTCGTTGAGAAAATACGAAATCCTGAAATTCTTTTGTCATAGCAAGGTTTGAAAGACTTTTCAGCATCATAGCTCTTATTGAAGAGTTTCTAATCTCTTCTCCGCACATTGTGGACAAATAAGAGATGATATCTTTCAAAACATTTTTCCTTTGTTTCGTCATTTTGCTTTCAATCATCCTTTTCATGAGTTTGGATAGTGCCAGTGATATATAGGCAAACTGAATACCATACTCCGAATCAACATTGACCACGCATTGTATGAATCTTGTTGTAAACCACTCACAATCCATCTTCTCGAGCTCTTTTTTGTCGGTACATGAGTTAATTGCAACTTCTATCATCGAAAGAGCTTGCGGATTGTATGCAAAAGTGAGTCCAGAAGGGATATCGCATTTTATAATCGCAATTACTAGACTAAACTTCACTTCTACGGAGTTTATGATAGCAGATACAAAACGGTCGGCACAATGGGGATATCCTGATATGACATTAATGAAATGGATGATGTAATGAGCGAAAATTTCGAAAAGAGTCGGGAAAAATTTTCTTTGTAGTAAAATAATTATGACAATGGAAGTAGCACAATCATATTTCAAATCGAAATCTTGGAGAAGCCATTCGACCAATTTTGAAGAATGTTCTTTTTCAAAATAAGACATGCAGTCATTGGCAAAATCGACGACATCTTTGATAATATAGCTATCAGCGGATAGTTTGGCCTGCCTAAGGACCTCTTTTGCGCAGATTACATAATGCATATTATATAATGCGTTCGTAAAGCTTATAATAAGGGCATTTGAGCTATCTTTGACACTCTTTTCGGACATTGGAGGGAAGTAATTGACGTAAGGAACGTTATATGAGAACATATTCGTGGCTTTTATCAATGCGTAGTTGGAATAGGGTGAATTGAAGATGAATGACATTCCTGATGCATTGTCTGAGAAATAAAATATAAAAAATGCAATTAAAAGGTCATGATAATCCTGAAGAGATAAATAAGGATATTTTCTTGGTATTGAACGTACTTTTTGAATGGATTCCGACATTCTTAAGCTCTTCGATATAGGCGGAGGGGTGTAAAATGCGCTGTAATCATCAATTCCATACATCTCAGAATCTAAAATGAAAGCTGAGGCAAATGGTAGCTCGATCTGATTGTACTGATTCATGTAGCCGCGCTTTAAATCTCGTAAAACCAAAACATCCTTGAATTTTACTGGAGTTTTGGGAAATCGATCATATTGTGCTTTTAAAGGCTCGATTTTTTGCAATTCTTTATGCACGAATCTTTCTTTTTTGAAATTTTGAAGGCCAATACTGTCTGCGAAATATTTTGGTTCATATGGAATTTTCTCTGAAGGAATCTTATTACTAAAATAGTAAATCCACTTTATCATAGATTCTTTATATGATTCGTAAGTGCCAAAATTATTTGGATCAGGAAATTCATCTAGCTGATACGAATTCCAAGAATTAGTTGGTAAAAACTCGGAAATAAAAGGATCGCGTGGACGGGTCATATTGTTAAACTGTTGATTTTGTTCAATAGGTGAATCTTCAATTATGATATTTAAAAGCTGAAGAATTTGAGGGGATTTGATTGGAACTTTTGGTTCTATTTTATATGAAGTATCTATTTTAGGCCTACAATAGAATGCAGACATTGTAGTTACGATATTTTCGAAATGAATATTTTGTTTTGTTCTCCGAAACCATATTTTAAGTGCTTGGTAATATTCATCTTTAGATGAATAGTTTATGGGTGATGGAATTTTTTCAACACCAACATTGTTGTTGATACCATCATCCATAACAACAAAAAAATAAATAATGATCTAAATTTAAATCATTTTCCTCTCTAGCTTCCGATATTAATATGATATCAGATTTCGAAAATCTGATTCATGAAATGTCAAATGTTTTGCAAAATAATTGAGAAGATTTTACATGGCATTTGCTGGCAAATGCCATGTAAAACTCTCAAAATAGAGAATGAAATGTTATGTATCATTGAATATTTCTTATATGTTTCATGCAAAAAAATTAGCAGCCTATTTTCGAATTCAAGGTCCAAGGCACCTTTAAAGTTAACTTTAAATTTTTCAAATTATAAAATTACTTCTTGACTTATCATTACTCCAAAGACATACTATTATGCGTGTGTATGAGGTATTTAACATATAATTATTCACAAATCATACTATCAATCAGAAATATTGCTTAGAAGCAGCTTGGTATTTAAAATCAAGTCTCTTTATCGTTTCTTCCACTCGATATTACCGGATATTTTATTAAAATTTGAACTGGATACTTCATTCGGGAAATTGAGTTTAATTATTTCTAATTTAGTGATTATAAAATGAAGAAATAGAAAATAAAATCTTAAATTTAGAAAACTTGAATATTTACATTCAAAAAAATAAAATAAAATAATATATAAAAAAAATTATGGTCTTGCAGCTGGATCTACATCATCGAGATAAGGATTAATAGAAGGAGTTACATCAGGAGCTTGGACTTCGATGTCGTATGGCTCTTCTGTTCGAGGTTGAACGTCAACTTCTTCATTATCTTGTTGGCGAATTGTTGGAGTCTCAACAATTCTTGGCATTGGAGGTAACAGGGTTTGTCCATCCCATTCCTCTGTAGCTCTTGCGAATGCAGCGTCGAAATCAAGATTACGGATGTCTTCTCTTGTAAATTCTTGAGCTTCGAGGGTCTCTGTGATTGCCTGGTATCCGGAATGTGACTTTTCGAGCTTGAACAAGTACACAGCTCCACAAACAAGTGCAAGATTTAAGATGTCATTCAGTAACTGGAAAATCCACTCTGGAATACCAATAATACGGAAGAACAAACTGAGGAATACTGACAAACAAAGGTAAACCATAATGATATAATTAACTGTCTTGTAAATTCTGAGTTTTCTCTTGAGCGGGGTTGTGAATGGGTTAATGCCGCGCTCAGCGATGACGTACATGTGGGCGAACACGTGAAGTAATGAGTTGTTCGTTCCGGTGAGAATCATTTTTATGAAAAAGTAAAGAGAGATGCCGAAAATAACAAATAAAAAGAGAGCAAGCCAGAATGGTCCTGCGTATCTGTAAGCGTAAACTGCGCCAATCATAACTGCAGATAAAATCGCAACTTTGAAAACGTCGAGATAAGAATAATTGTCGTGAAGTACGCCATATCCTTTAGCAACAAATGCATAACAGATTACAACTAAGGTCAAGAATAAGAAGGAGAAAACAACTGAGGTTTGTGTAATTCCGTTATTAATATCGCTCTTGCTATAGTGGTAATAATAAAGAGTATCAATGATAATGTTAACAAGAGCTAAAGTAAAAGCAACTGTATAGAATTTATGTAAAATTGAAGATCCACTGAAATTCATGAACCAATTAATGTACCAGAAGATGATGACTATGCCAAAGAGTCCGACCATGATTGGTTTTGTGTAAAGGCATGGAATTAATTCGGTTGATAATTTCGTATTTGGATTTGAATAGACAAGTTCTGCTCGATACTCAGATGTTAATGAATTGCATGAGCCAATGACAGTATAATATGTACTTCTTTTTGGAACAGTTAGGTTAAATTTGACCTCTTTATTTTGTACTGATTCGAGTTGACTAACTTGGCATAGTGTAGCGAACGATTCGCATGATATATAATAGCCTGATTGGAGAGATTTATATTCGGAAGGGTCGCAAAGGGATAAAACAATAGATCTTGCTTCAACTTCTGTAAAATGGGCAGTTAAGTTTCCACCCTTTTGGAAGCCCCATTTATATGGGACAATAGTATTGTATGAAGTCCTAGCTACTAATGTAGATCTAAAGAAGAGAAGATATGCAAACATTGATTCTTTAAAAAAAATTGACGAGATTTTTATGATAAAAAAATTTAACAACCTCAAACTAAATCCGATAAGATTTGATATATATATAATTTGTCCATACATGCATAGATGTAATCTAAGCAAACTCATGAGGAGAAATCAATCGAAAATACGAGTATTTTCAAAATTTGATAATGTTCCCCAAAATTAGCTAAAAATTTTAGGGGTTGCTAATGGCAGAAACGTGAGATTTGAATGGGGCTTCCGTTTTTTGTCTCATACTTATAATATATGTACTATTTCTGATTCTCTTTCGATATATCATAAATTTAATCTTTTTTTGGAAGCAAAAAAATTTCGGATTTCCTAAAAATTAAATAGTCAGTGATGGTAATCTACTATGAATATAAAACATAATTATCATAATTCAAGTATGAATGTAAGCTCTGAAGTTGATGAAAATTTAGCGAATTAAGCTCATTATCAACATACCAATATTGAGTATAATATAGTTATTCAAATTTTAAGGGTTCCGACCGACCACCTATCTCCTCTCAATTTTCATCAACTTCAGAGCTTCTTGTAGGCTTACATGATAGATGTCTTTCATTGCTACCATATACAATACGATAGTAATCATTCATCTAAAGATATACATATATGAAAGATGAATCTCAAAGTCGCCATATTATCTTAAAGAGAGCGTTTTTTTTTTGTCTCATTTTTTTCAATATTTTGTTTTAGAAAACTAATAACAAATTTAATCATTTATGTTATTTTTGCGTTATTATCAGTAGAGAGTGAAGATAGCAAACAGCCCTTGGGCTGATAGGCAATTAAATACTATAAAATCGAATTTTTGCTCCACTTCAAGCATAGTCCAATGATTGGAAACATCCTAGGAAAACTTGTTTTGAGGTTCATTTGCCGAGCGGAAAACTTTTTTTGAAAATCTAAATTATCAGAAAAATATATTAATATTTTATGCTTTTAAAACAGAAAATATATAAAGAGTAATAATTATTTAGTGTTATATAAAATATTGAGCTTTTTAAATTATTAAATTTTAATTCGTTAAATTTTGTTCAATTTCAGCATCTCATTTGAACTACAATTTCATAGTATGGTGTTTCTTAATCAAATTGCTTCTAAATTAATGAGAAAAATTTGAAATTTGAAATTTCAGTATCTAATTCAAATATCTATCTAATAGCATTTCTACAATCGCAGTAAATATGATATTACAGGCTCAGTTGTGAGTGAAATTAAATTAAATATATAATATAGAGGCAAATCTGTAATTTTGATTGCGAGAATAAGACCGACAAGACTTTCTTGGCCGATCTTATGATCGAAATACAGTCATTTCTGGTACACTGACAGTGTGGTGTATCAGAATTGACCGAATCTCTCAAAATCACATTCTTCCTGGAAATGAAGAGTAATCTATAGTGCGTATCGTCTAGGGAAAATGTCATTTCTCGCAATCACATCAATACATAGTCTTCTACATATCCATACCATTATCAAGAAAATGGTGTACTTCTCCTGATCCCAAAAATCTCATAGTAAAAAAAATTTAAAATACGGAATTCTTTACAAAAGAACAACAACAAGTATATATAAGTATATCACATATTATTCTCATATTGTACTATAACTATCTACACTATTATTAAATAAATCCTATCTGTATATCATACTGCAACTAAAATTCATGGTAAAAATTTCATATTTTCATCATTCCAGAGAGACTAATAGTATATATTATGGATAAAAAACAGTTGAAGTATCATATAAATGTGTTATATAGTATATCTATCTGCAAAATATCTAAAAATATGAATGTTTTTTCTTGATGTGTAATCTCACGATTTCGCTATTGAGTGTTCAAAATTTAATTTTTAGTATATAGTAATAGTACTCACATACTACCTGTTATATTATGTCATATAAGTATGCTCAGATATTGGCTACAAGTTGAGAAAAATCTAAAATAATTGGCGTAAGGGACCACTGCACGGCCAAACAAGACATATCAAAAAAAAAAGGTAGTGGGGCTTCCAGGCGCGTTGCGCCCTCTAGCCCCGAAGATGTTTAGTATAAATGAAGTTTTTATTCGGAAAATTGTTAGTCTTCTGGTGTGAATTCGGAGGACTCTTCTTCTTCCTCCATTGCTTCTGGGAAGAAGCCTTCTTCTGGGTCGAAAACATTATATAATGTGTCGCTTTTCACAAATTATATATTTTTTCATGCTTTGTCAGTTTTCTGTCACTTTTCGGGTAAAAACATTTTTATTATTATATATAAATGAATTTTACAAAACCGCCGTTACCGTTCTTTGGAAATAAGAGTAAATGTAAAGATATTATATTGAGAGAACTTAAGAAACTACCGAATGGTCTAACATTTGTAGATTTGTTCGGTGGAAGTTTCTATATATCCCATTTATGTCATACAATATTCCCAGACTCAAAGATTATATGCAATGACTTCGACAACTATATGAACCGTCTCAAACATATTCCAGACACTAACAAAATATTGAAAGAGTTAAAAGAAAAGATATCTATAGGTAAGATGGAACGTATACCATTAGATAAGAAAGATATTGTGAGAGAGGTTTTGAAAAAAGCAGAATATATAGACTGGGATAGTATATCTGCTAGACTATTATATAGTGGTTCTATAAGAGTTCATGACATTGAAACACTTATGTCAAAAGTTTTATATCTTAACTATACAAATGTTTTCAAAGAGAACATAGAAAAATATATTGATGGTATAGAGTTTGTGAGATGTCATTGGACAGAGTTGTATGAAAAATATAAAGACAAGGAAAATGTTTTCTTTATAGTGGACCCGCCGTTCTATAACACATGGGATTTTCAATACCAAGTAGACTGGACTTTGAGAGACTCTTTAGAAACTTTAGACGTTATACATAACCATCCATGCTTTTACTTTACATCCGATAAAAGTGGTTTGGAAACCGTTATGAGCTGGTTAGAAGACATACATGACTATGAGTTTAGATATGACAAGATAGAGTATGAGAGAGGTCCTATAAACCGGAGAAAGTGTCACAATAAAGAAATTTTATTAGTAAGTAAATGTGGTTTGAAATAGGACTACTTGTTTTAGGTTTTTTCCATTGTGTCATTTATTTATTTGACGTGGCAGAAAAGTACAGAGAATATGAAGATGAACCAATGCCTGCAAATGTTCAGTATATGTACTCGTAAGAGATATTTTTATCTAATATTAAATGGACGCACAGAACTTAGCGAATGCACAGCAACCTGGACAACCAAACCCAGAGAATATTCCAAATGAAGTTAGAATACAAACTGCAATGGCAAACTATGGTCAAGTGCCAACAGATGTACAAATGCAAACTGCCATGTCAAATGACGCTGCGTTAGGTTTGCCACCATGGTATGCAAATATGAGATGGAAAGAGTTTTATACAAACCCTGAAGTGGGATATAAACAACTTTATGCAGATGACGCGAACACAGGAGTTGACCCAGAATATGTTTTCTACCAGAGGAGAAACAGAATGTATGAGCTCCAGTTAAAGAATGCTATGGAACTCAACAGGAAACGTAAGAGACTAGGCGGACATTAGATTTTTACATATAGTAAAATGGGTTTCTTTGGAAGAATAGGAAACTTCTTTCGAAATGTTGGAAGAGGTATATGGAATGGAATAAAATCTGTCGGAAGAGGAATTTGGAACGGTGTCAAAAATATTGGTAAAAGAGTAGGTCAGTTCGTTGGTATTATACCTAAAGACCCTGAACCAGAAGAACAAGCCCCTGTTATACAACAACCTGAACCTGCACCACAGTCAAGTTGGCAACCAAATCCAACACCTCAACCGTATTAAAAAATTATATTTTTACCGTTCGATAGTAGTTGTATATGAAACTAAGTTCTAAGTAAAACGCATGGTATAATGGAATTATTCTTTTTCTTCCATCTGTAGTAAACCATACTTGAAAGTCTGAAATACTTCCACTTGGTGGTTCGTATAACTTTGTAGGTTTTTCGTAAAAATCATTCATCAGACATAAGAAAGAGTTTTGCGCACCAGAAAATGAAGCATGAACAATAATAGCATCTTGGTCGAAAATATTTTCATATGTTCCATTAGGGTTTTCGACTTCATAAAAGTCCGGGTGTACTGGATATTCTGCAGGCTGATTTAACATCCTCAAAAATCTATACCATGCCAAGTTGTTATATTTTGTAGAAATATAAACGTTTTCTCCAAGGTCTTCTATTTTATTGATTTTAACAGTTGCATTTTTCCTGTCATAAATAATATCGAGATGGTATTCTCCTTCGTCAATGTTATACTGGTTTGCATATTCGATATAGATGTCGTTTATTTTTTCTTGAAAAGCATGAAGAGTTGTTTCTAAGTTTACAAGCAAACTAACTTGAAAAAGTTTTCCCTGTTCAAATTTCTCATACATACGTTTTTCTTTGTTATAGTATCGAACTTCAAAACCGACCGTAAATGGGAAACCATGTATGGCTTCTGAAATGAACTTCATTCTACGAAAGCCAATAGCTTTTGTGACGGATGGGTCTCTTAACCATCTTAATGGGTAGTCAAAACGATAGCCTTCATGCTTTACGGTCTCTGTCTCAAACTTTTGACCGACATTAGTAAAAAGTTCATCTAATGGTTTAGTTGTAGCAACTCTTGAATTTTCTTTTTCTATTGGAAGCATATTTTATCTATAATAAAAATGTCAAATGAAACAGCGTCTATGAGAGAAATACAACACAACCGACAACTCATTATGCAAGCTCTAAATAAGAACACAACAAACTTTTCAAACTATGCTAAAATATCTGAGTCATTGAAAGAAGGAAACTTAAAACTGACAATAAACCCTATGACAGATGAGTTTCTATTTCAAGACAATAAGAACCATACTGTCTGTATAAATCCAACAAAAGGAACTTTAAACGAGAAACCTATAAATGAACTTCTTTTGAAAGCAGATGTTGACAACAAAGCTGACAAAGAATATGTAGACGATGCAATAGCAAAAGAAGAAGAAAGAGCTAACAATGCTTATGCAACAAAAGAACATACTCATCCTGAACTAGCAGACAAAACATATGTTGACAATAAAATGTCAAGTGAAGTGACAAGAGCTGAAAACGAATATTCTAAAAAGACTCATACACATACCATTGCAAATATTACAAACTTACAAGAAACCTTAAACAGGAAAAGTGACGTTGGACATACACATACCATTGCAAATATTACAAACTTACAAGAAACATTAGAGACAAAAGCAAATAAGACTCATACACATACCATTGCAAATATTACAAACTTACAAGAAACCTTAAACAGGAAAAGTGACGTTGGACATACACATACCATTGCAAATATTACAAACTTACAAGAAACATTAGAGACAAAAGCAAATAAAACATATGTGGCTAGTGAGTTAGAGAAGAAGGCGGATAAGAACCATACACATGATTTCTTCACAACTGTTGGTATAGAAAGTATTGAAGGAACGGTTGAAGGAACTGATGGGGATGCATTATATTGTAAACCTCCTAACTTTCCACAAGGTTTAACATCGGATGAAAACATAACAACGATGAAATACATTAGATGTAGAAATGTTTATGTCATGGATGAAAATAAAGTTAAATTCACTGCTCAAGATTTATATGATAAGAAAGCAGACAAAACAGAGCTTCAAACATTAAAGACTGAAATACTTCAAACATTATATCCTGTTGGCTCTATTTATACGTCAATGAACTCTACCAGACCAGAAGTAGTACTTGGTTTTGGAACTTGGACTCAAATAGTCGACAGGTTTTTGTATTGTGCAAACTCTTCAAAGGAAACAGGTGGAAGTAAAACGATTTCAGGTGAAAATTTACCTGCACACAGTCACTACATAGATTTAAGTACATCTCAAGCAGGTTGGCATAAGCATAGATATTGGGATTGGTCAGGAATGACAAAAGGTAAAGGATATGATGTTAAAGACAACGTTCAGTTTGCTATAAATTGTTACTGGAGTAACACTGAGGGAGGAGGAAACCATACACATCGCGTTTCAGGATATACGCAAACAACGGGACAAAGTAAAGACTACATGCCACCTTACATGACAGTTTACGCATGGTATAGAATTGCTTAGTCGTCATTTTCAACTTCTTTAGCATATTCGTCAGGAGTTGTCTTATATTTGTTAGGAACTGTCTTTGAAAGTATACCACCTTGAACTTTGACAAGTTTGAAACGAGGTCTGGCAATAGTAGTTTTATCTTCTGCTTGCAGTGTGTATATTTTGCCATGTTTGCCTAAAACTTCATAATATTCTCTTGTATACTTTCTTCTATTTTTACGAACACGAATGTGAGTACCTGTCGGTTCCCATTGTTGTCATAGTCAATAGTATTTTCATATGGGTCGCGTTTAGGTATTTCTATTTTTTACTTTGTCACCTTTCTGAAGTTTGAAGCCCGGCATTTCTTGTTTGTCTCTTTTGACTAAATTATTAAATATATAGTCTTTCTCTAAGTCAGGGTTGTTTTTCATTTCTTCGGGGAGTGGTTTCCCAAACCTTTTTGTTTACGGTTATTGTAAATATTTAAAACTTGTCTCATCTTTGCCATGGAGAAGTGTCTATATTTGTCGTCATATGACATTTCATTTGCTTCACCACCTTGTGGTTGGTTTAAGTCTCTTAACATTTTATACAACCGTCAATGACACCAAGAGCAGAATGGTTTTGGTCGACAATGAAATTTGGTTTACATTTTTGAACGCAGATAGTTTTTACATCATCTGATTTGAAAGAACTTTCACAGTCAGATGTCAGTTTTGTTGGATGGTATTTGTCAACGAATATTGTCAAAGCAGTTTTCACATCTAAAATATTTTTGGACCATAATGGTATGGCTTCACAGTATCTTGTGTTTTGACCGACAATATTAGCCAGTATGGTGGTTCATCTTCTCTATACCTCGGAATGTTTTCCAAGATATCCATAAACCAAGCATTTTGGTGTTGAACTAAAGATTTTTATCATGAGTGCTTTCTTTGTCGCTTTAGAAACATAGGGGTCCTTGTTTGGATTCGTCATTTTTTAACCCATAAGAAATGGGTTTATTTGGCGCATTAGCAGGAGTCGCATCTAGATTTTTGCCCGCAGTGGGAACAATAGCCAGAGGTGTATTTGGAGTTGGAAGGAAGATTTTGAGTACATTAGGTATACTTAAAGAGAAAGCACAACCTATTATACAAACTGTACAGAAAGGTTGGGATGTAGCACGAGATGCAACAAATCTTATTCCAAATCCTGAAACAAGAGGAAAAGTTCAAGGATGGATGGACAATGTAGGGAAACAAGCAGGAAACTATTATAACAAAGCAAATGACTACTATAACCAAGCAGGACACTATATGGACCAAGGTGAAAGATTCTTTAACAGAGGATATAACCATGCACAACAGTGGGTAAACAATAACCAACCGCAACCACCTCAAACTTGGGGAATGTAAAATTTTTTACTGAGATGAAATGAACAATACAGCATTGAGACAAATGAGTTCAAGATGGATTTGTCGGTTTCCAGCAGTTACACCACGTGTTTGTCAAGTTCTTCCTATACCTCAGGAAGTTTTAGACCGACTTAAAAAACCTCAACAACCAGTTGAAAACAAACCAAACTAAAATTTTTTACTGAGATGAAATGACCGAAGAAGTTGAAACGGTAGATTTGACACCACAAACAAAAAGTTCAGAACCATTGTCAAAACCTGTCAAAGAACTTACAGATGAAGAGAAAAATTCAATAATAGAAAGTGCCAGGTCTGGAAATACAAACTCTAACTATAAAGTCACTTTTCATAGAAATGGAACGGCTAGTATCTCAAAAAAGAAACAGACTCTCACAAATAAAATATTGAAGTCTGTGGGAGCTTTCGAGACAACATATGGAAAAGTTTACTTCACTGACCAACAGTTCATTATAGAACATCTCATTGACTTAGAGTCGAAATATTCTAAACTTTACAACAAACACAAAAAGTTGAAAGGAAAACAAAAACAAATGGCATATGATATTTATGAAGATGTTGACGGCACAACTGTTCCTGCAAGTGAAGTAAAGTCAGAGGAACCGAAAAGTGACGAAAAACCAATAGAAGAAGAAAAACCAAAAACTGAAGATAAACCAAAACCAAAGTTTAGTTTGGAGACTAAACCAAGCCAACCTTCATTAGCTGGTATGGGTTGGCGTCAAAGACTTATGGCAGCAAGTGCTTATGTAAAGTAAAGAAAACAGTATATTTTTATTTTTATAAAAATGCCCCCATATAGAATGGACAGAAAGTCTGCTAGAATAAAAGCAGAGTTACAAAGATATGGTTGGAGAGTTTCGAAGAATTTTAAATATAGGAAGGGAAGACCCATAAAAGTCTATGACAAATTGTCTGGTCTTCGCTACGAAATGGATTTGGAAACAGCACGTGCAAATTATCCAAACAGACTAGAGAGGTTAGAAGAAGAACGTCTTATGGACATGCCTTTCGATGTTAGTGAACCTCAAGTTGAAGGAAACTTGTTTGTTAGATGAGAAATATGAAATTCACTGTTGTGAGTCATTTGAAGTCAGAAACAAAAAGACAAAAAGAGTTTTAAGCGAATGGGAGCAAAATGACGGATATGCTATTATGAAGATGGGTGGAAAACACTATCTTAAACATGTTGTCATTGCAACTCATTTTATATTGAATCCTAACAATTTACCTTTTGTAGACCATATAAACCATATAAGAAACGACAATAGACTTGAAAACTTACGTTGGGTCACTCGTTCTGAAAACAATAAGAACAAAGGCAAATTTGGAGATATTGTATTCGAATTTGTCGACGAACTAGAAGATGAAACAATTGAAATTACAGACTATGGCAAGCATACGTTTGAGTTTTACTATAGCGAAGAACAAGACTCTTTCTACTTTTATACCGGCGTAAACTATAGGAAATTACAAGTATATTTTACTAAGGCGGGCTATGCTTATGTAAACACTAGCGATACAGATGGAAAATACGTTCAAATACTTCTTAACAAATTCAAGAAGCTATATGGCATACCATTTTAAAACAATATATTTTTACATATATTAAATGCTTCAGGCTGAAAAACAAAGAACAAAAGTAGCAGATACAAAACCGTTAGACTATATCTTTACAAATGCTGGTAGGACTATTTCAGATGAAGAAATTTCATCCCGAGAATACAGGTTTGACTATCCAATTCGTTGGCTTCAAAGTCCTTCAGATGCAAAGGCAATAGGATTTAGAAGAGTTTTGTTTTCAAATAGAACTAACGCATTTATGTTCGCAGTATATTTTCATGGGCAGTATAAAGGTTCTGATGGTCTAATAGACAAATTTGACGAAATGAGAATCTTTACAGTTCGTTCAGACGAAAGTCTTGAAAAAACTCTAAATGACTTTCAAACTCAAATGAACAAATATTATTGGGAATTTCAAGAAAAATATGACTCTTTACTAAATGGAACATACTATCTGAAACTAGAATATGACAAGATGAACTCCACCGTTTCATTTCAAAAGATTGAAATTAACCCTCCAAGAGATACAGAGTTTTTATTTTGGAAAGTAGACAAACGTTCTTCATTCCTTCTTCATATACTTTCGAAACAACAATCCAGAAGACAAAGCAAGAACTTTTAACAAGTACTTTGGACTGTTGTGCGAAAGATGAACAAAATGAAGAATATCTTTATGAAATGCAGGACATTATTGACCATTTACCTAAATTGCCTGAAATCCAACAACAAAAGCTCACTATTCCTGAATTCGATGAAATAGAAGTAAAAACAACCGACTCAGTAGAAATAAAGAAGTTCATACGAAAGGTAAATTATGAGTTTCTAGGATTTCATTGCAACCATAAAGTTATGGACAAAGATTGCGACATGTTATATAAGAACATCTCTGACATATATAAATCGGAGGAGTTTAAGACATACGACAACTTTGTTTCGTTAGTTGCTGAATGTGTTTGGCAGATAAGAGATAAAGATAGAAGAGGTAAAGTATGGAACGAACAAATAAGACCCGCTATGTTTGAGATGAAGAAAACCATTGACGCCTTAGTTGTTCTAGCAGGTCAAATTTCAATGTATAACGCAAAAATGAACCCACAATGTTCAAAATGTAAAGCAGCAATAAGGAAATATAACTACTCCGTCAAAGAGATAGAACGTATGAGAAACGACTATGCTGACTTAAAGAAAGAAGTAGAGAAACCAGCAGAAGATAAAATGGACATGTTAGCATTTCTGAACAAAAACTATCCAACAGCTGACGATTTCCTATTATCTGACGTCAAGAAGAAGTATAAAGAAACTTTCGGCATTGTTAAAACATTCGATGTACTAAAAGAAGAAATAGAAGCTACAAAACTGTTTAGGATTTCAAATATACATCGTACAATTCATGTAAAACGCTTATAAAATAACTGGGGTGAGAAAAGAGGTGAAAAAACAGGTGAGATCTCACCTTCTACCCTAAAATATATTTTTATTGAATTCAGCAACAAATTTCTGAGTAAAATGGCATATAGCTTGTGTTAAACCGTTGAGTTTTCACAAAATTTAAAAAATAACGTTTACCATGTAAAACGCTTATAAAATAACTGAGGTGAAAAATTAGGTGAGAAAACGGGTGAGATCTCACCTCTTCACCTAAAATATATTTTTATTGAATTCAGCAACAAAATTCATGAATTTCCTCATATGTTTGCTACCCTCGGAAAACCGAGGGTAGAGATTCCGTATGAAAATCGTGAAGCAAAGCGAGTAGGTAAAAAACCCCAGTCGCCAAAACTCTATGAAAATCGTGAAGAACAGCGAGTAGGTAAAAAATCTTACTCGCCAAAACTCTATGAAAATCGTGAAGAACAGCGAGTAGGTAAAAAATCTTACTCGCCAAATTTCATTATATAACTGTTATTTTTGACGAAGTGAAGAGTTGCACTTTGTCAAAAAAATCCCTGAAATCATATCTTTTATACAAAATAAATAAAATAAAGTTAGTTTTATTTTTATTTATTTTTTTATTTTGTATGTAAGAACAGAAAATGACAAACATTGAGTTTGAAACAGTTAGAAAGATAGACAATAACACCAAAGTGGTTAGAATAGGGGATTTAAACGTAAGATACTCAAAGAAATACAACAAATATTCTTTGTCAGACATTATATCTCCATCTGGAAAGAAAGCAAAGGACTGGGTTAGAATTGCTTCAACTCAGAAAATTTTGACAAGAAATCCTGAGCTTATGATATCGGTAGCATTTCATGGAACAAGAGCATATCTCATCGACAAAAGTCTTATACCAATAGTTTTGTTATGGTTAGACCCAGTTGTTGGATATAACTTCATAACATATGGTTCATTCGATACGGAACGTTGCAGTGAAGGCTTACTTTACATCGTTCAGAAACCGAAGGACTTCAATACAAAGAGATATAAGATAGGAAGAACATATAATATAACTCAAAGATATGACAGTACAGTCAATAGAGTCAAGGTTGTGTTCGTTAACGATATGAGAGCTGCAGAAACAGAACTACTTGAAAAGTTTGAGAAAATGTATGGTGCTCCCATGAAAGGTAAAGAAACGTTTGAAGTAGATGAGATAGATAAAGCTATAAAATTATTTGACGAAGTTGCTGAAAAATACATGTAAAGCGTTTATTTTTGGTCTTTTGTGAAAGTCAGAAAATAACGCTAATTTTTTTCTAACAAATTTTTTTATTTTGTATGTAAAGACAGATATGTCAACAACAGAGAACACAACAACAGTTATAGTCCATGAAGCTATAAATGAAGAATACGAGTACATACAGTATAACAAACAGTTACGTCTCATTCGTTCGGTCAAAGACGACATGTACCAAATGCAAAGTATTTTGAATGCATGTTTTGCTCCAGATACTAAACACGCAGACGACTGGTTCAGAAACCAAAGCACACAAGAACTTTTGAGTGAAATTTCTCTAGACCGACTTTTTTCGGTCTTGCATAAAACACATGAAAATCGTAAAAATTTGCCAATAAATTTAAGAGGATATTATGTTCATAGACTATTAGTAAATGCAGTTGCAATGTGGGCTTCTCCTCGTTATGCATGGCATGTTTACAAACTTCTTGACGAAATTCATAGACAAGAACGTGAAGAGATGGAAAAGAAACTTCAAGCAAAAGATGAAGTCATTGAAGCAAAAGACAAAAGCATTCAGAAAAGAATACCACGTTCGGTACCAAAAGGTAAGGAAAAGAACTATAAGTATATGATTTATACTGAAGAGATGGAAAATGAAGAAGACAGAGATATGGTTATGTTGCATTTAGTCAGAAGAAACAACAAGAGCTTTTACGACCTTGCTAAGATTTACAAATCTGACAGAAACTTGTTATACCTTATGAACCAAAGAAGACAGACGACTATGAATATTATGAGACTATGAATGGGTCTAGTTCTTCTTTAAGTCCTGACATGTACTTGTTTACTGAGATGAATTTCGTCCATCTTTTCTATCGGATAAAAAAATATTTTTTTTAAAATTTACTCAGAAAAATTTTTCTTTGTATATACACCATTCTGTACGTCTAAAAGACTTTTGACATTTGCCAAGAATGTTCGTTTAGAAGCTGTCATATAACCATATTCTTGACAATATTGTTTATACGAATCGTACAATGACCTTTCATCTAAACACTCAAAGTCAGTTTCATCTATGAACAGTTCATATACACTCTTGTTTGCTTCTAACAATGTTTGTCTCTCTTCGGTATGTGGAATTTGTCTTGGATTGAACTTAGAAATATCTAATGTCATGAAATATGAGAACAAGTGGTTGTAAAAGTCAGATGTCAAAGTTTCTGCTAAGTCGTCAAAATATTCTGTATCTTGCATATGAGAATCTGACGTTCTGACAACTACATATCTTCTGTCAGAACTTTCTAACTTCATCGGAACAGCATTGTTTGAAACCATAATGAAGTTTGCAACATTTCACAAACTCTTTGGTCTTTATACTTTCTTTCAACAACTCCAACTTTGTCTGTTATAAGACTCTTCAAAGCATCTGAGTTTCAAAATTTTGTTGTATCTATACTTTGAAGTTCGTTACATACTATAAGTTTCATATTCTCTATTGAGAGTTAAATTTACCCAGATGTTTTTAAGTTTGTCATATTCGGGTTCGAATAGCCTTCTAAAGTTTGCAAAGATATCTGTAAAGAATGTGTTCTTACCTGTTCCTTGTTTTCCAATTATAATGAGAGCAGTTTTCATTTTTAGCACTTGGATGTTGTAAGATGTTTGCAAACCAACATAAGATATACTCATAAACCTTTTCGTTTCCATTGCATATAATTTCTTTGACATGGTCTAACCAAGCTTCTATAATATTTTCTTTCCATTCTACTTGTTCATATTTATATCCAGTGAAGATAGAATAGAAGTTTGGAGAAGGTGTATAGAACTTTATACCACGAACTGAAAAATCTTCAAGTTTTGACAATAAGATATCCCAAGCATCTAACATCTTCATGCCAACTTGTACGACTTTTATTTTCTTAAGTTTCTGTCTACATTCTTGTTCAGACACTAATTGTTGCTCTTGGTTTGTTAAAGACACATCCCATTCTTTCATGACATAACATTCTGGGGCAGAGTCGACATAAATGACTAAACGTTTCAAATTCTCGACTGCTTTGTTATAGTCTCTAAATGGACACATATTTCTGAATGCTTGGAAGTCATAAAAATCTGAAACATCTATTCTGTACATTTTTATAAAAATAAAAAAAAATATTTTTTTTATTCTTGACTTTTGTTCCATTTGTTGCATTTGTTGTTCTTGAGCTATTTGTTGTTGAAGTTGTTCTTGTAATACAATACTTTCACCAGTTGCATCTTCCAATTCGAAACTTTCTGCGTCATTGACAAATAATAGGACATAAAAGTTTTACAGGAACAAAGTTTGCGTCAACTAATGTCAACGTTATACTTGCCAAAGTGTTTGAGTTCACTAAGGTTGAAAATTCTGCATTCGAATGAACAATAGGCAAACCAGCAGAGAAAGTATTGTTTATACGCATAAGTATCTTTTGGTCATAATAGTTTCTGTCGACATTCGAATAACACTTTGAACCTAAGTTTGAAACAATATATAGATTGGTGTGCTTAATGTCAATGGAATAGACATTCCTTGTATGACACCTTTTCCTGTTTATAGGAAACTGTTGGTAGTAAAAACCAGATATAAGTTTTGTATTATAGCTCATATCGTTTATAGTAAACTCAGTCGGACATCCAAACATAATGAAACCTGCTCTAGTTGCAGCACATGTTACACCCGTCCTTAAAGTATTAAATAAGTCAACAAAACCTGTTGGTGGTATATCTGAGTAAGTATCTTCAAAGGAGTATTTTTTACCATTCACAACAATAAAGTCTTCTGGTGTCAAAAGAGCAAAACAGGCTTTAGTCGTCATTGTGTTTAAGGTTAGTTTACAATATCGTCCTTGAGGACTTTGTAAGTTTGTTGTTATAGAATTTATGACTCGGTTTTAGTCGTAATAGTATAAACCATTATGTCTTCTGCCATTTACTTAGCAAATAAATTTTAATGAAATGTTGTGGTCGTCAAATATTTTTATAACGTCTGGGAAACTATATTTAAGTTCAACGTTTCACCTCCTTTCATAACGTATATCTTGTCAATGACATTATATGAAACACCACAGCAACTAATGTCGGGTTCTATTTCTTTGATGTTTATATCGTCTGCCTCTGTCAAAAGTTTCAATAGTTCTTTCAAAACTTCATGAGGTGCAATGACATATGAGTTCACTTTTACAGGGTTGTGTTCGACTAAGTTTAACATTATAACTAAAGCTTGACAAATCTTCTCCTGAGTTTGAAGTTTGTCTTTCAGTTGTTGGTAGTCGTTTCGAATATCTGCAACAGAACTTAAGTCTCTGCTAACTTCAGGATATGTTGGTTCTTTTACAGGAACAATTGTTATACCATCTTCGTCTTCGTATGGTTTCCCCACTTCAACATCTCTGTCTTTGACATTGACAATAACACTTTGACTGTTTGTTTGAGTTGGTGAATTTAACTTCACATCTGCCACCGCCATTAAACCTTTTGAAACACTTACGCTTCTATTTTTCGGAAATGACATTTTACTTAGAATAAAAAGATGGACGTATTCGGATATCTTATTGAATTGAAGCAAAACAAAGTTTACACACACAAACAATACAAGTTCATTGACAGAATAGTTCTTTATACAAACAATGGAAAATGTTATAGAATAGCAGTCTTTGCTGAACCTAAATATTTTCATAAAGCAAAGAAAGTTGGTATAACTGAAATGGTGAAAGTTCTTGAAGCAGACAAAAATATAACAACAAAACTTACAGATATTTCTAAAGGTAAGTTTATAATACAATATTATGTCAAAACTGGTGTCATAACTATTTACGATGGTGAGAAAAGTGTCAAAGAAACAACTTACTGACCTGCTGCCAAAATCTGCTCGATGGAAGCTGTCGTTATGCCAATCTGAGGAGCCCCAGCAGGTTTCATCGAACGAATCTTCAAAGAGCATCTTCCGTGAAAAGTGCTATTGGTTTTGTAAACTTCTTTGCTCTCAATTCATCTGGACCGTCTCTGTCACTAGTATATTGTATTTGTACAGTACCAACAGTTGAAATACCACCCATAAAGTCTTCTGAGTCAGCAAATGGAATGCCAAGCCAAAAGTTTGAACGGTCTCCATTTGTATATTGAGTTTTTTGACCTCCTGTATGAGTCCATACTTTCACATATGGCATAATAGAACTTTGCATTTCAGGGTTAATGGTTGTTGTGAAGTTGTTGTTAAAGTTCATAGCATCTAATGTCAAGTTGTATGACCTCATATCTTCAACTGTAGAATATTCTTCTCTTGGATAATATTTGCCATCTATGTTTATATGATATTTAATACCAGGGTTGTAGATAACAAGAATAGTCATTTATAGTTCGTCTGAACAGTACAAACATAGTATCTGCATGTTTCATTGCAGTTGTTAAAGAATATCTGTTCTTGCACCTGGGTCAGCACTTTGGTTTCAACTTCACCTGCAAAGTCTTTGACAGATATTTGGTGTATAGGGAACATAAGTGGAACTGCAATATATTGGCAGCTAAAGCATTTGAAATATCTGGGTCCAACATATAGACTGCAAGTCTGCTTTCTATTCTCTTGCATTCAAATTTTTGCATGTAAACTTAACTGGGTCCCAAGCAGTTCAGCAGCATTGAAATAATAGTTTACTTCATTGTTGAAGTTTGAGAAACCAAAGTCTAAGTCAACTTTGTCTTTGCAAATTCGGCGAATGATGTTTGATTTGTTCCCTTTACGTCTGTAATAGTGAATGGGTCTTGTGTTGGTGCAATGACTAAGTTATTTTTGCTTGGAGTAAGTTCGATAGAAATTTTTTCCTGCCCAGTTTGGCAAGTATCTTAAAAACCTGAAGATGAGGAAAGATGACAAAGGAACTCTAAGTTTCAGTTTTACTTTAGTGGCAGCAGTTCCATTTGAACCCGAAGGTTAACATAAACTCCTGGAACGTTAGGGTCAAGTCTTCTTATTTTCTCAATATTTGCATACTGGTCTGTTTGTTCTCTAGCTTGTGGTTGTACTGAGTTTCTCAAAGCGAACTTCATAGTTTGCCCATGTTACTGTTTGAACTAAGTCAGAGTTAGAATATATCTTATATCCCATGAAAACTTCTGGAGCATATTGGTATCCGACATAGAAAATTCCATTGCAACCTTTCTTGTCAGACAACTTGGCAGAAGGTTTTATTTCAATGTCTTGTTCCACGTATAAGAATGAGTTGTCAATAGAAATAATATGAAACCTGTCGCAAGCAATATCTACTGTTGTTGAAGAACCTTCTCCAAACTCACCTACGTTTCCATAAGAAACAGTAGTTGTATATTCGTAAGTTCCAGGAACTATTTCTGACCTTCTAATGGCATTGTCGCATTCGTTATACCATTCGGAAACATTTCCATTCATGGCGTCCAAAACTGTTGGCGTAATATTCTGAGCGGCGTACATTTCATATGGGTAAAAATATAGAATAGTTGGATTTATGTGTCATAATAGAACCCACTCGGACCAAGCTTTACTTTCTTCCTGACTGAGTTTTTAACTCTTCTTTTTCCTTCATTGCCACTACTTTCACTAGATGAAGTTACTTCTTCACTACTTTCACTTTGTTCTACTCTTCTCTTCTTCTTTGGTGTCGCTTTTGGTAACTTGCCCTCTGCTTCAAGTTGTTGCATCTTTGCCTCATGTTCACCTAGTATGTTGTAAATTTCCCATGTCCTTTTTGCCTTTGGGCTCTGGTCGCCCATCTCAGGTAACCAATATCCTAGAAAGATTTTGTCATAGTT